TTAAAGTCCATAAGGGAGATGATGTTAATGACACAGAGAGTCTTTCAGAAATCTCCAGCAAAAGTATAAAAGTAATCCCGCCAATGAGAGCAGAGGTGTTTCTAAGGTCTTTTAAGGTTCTGTCCAAAATCTCTATAGCTCATGGTGATTTCATTACATATAATCAATGAGGCGTCTTATAATAATTTATAAAAAGGTTTGACATTAACAATTAATTATTTATCAAGAATCAAGAATCGGCCAACCAAGAACGAGAAGCTGCAATATCAGCCAATATCATGCGGCGACGTCAATGATGCAGGAACAGCAATGATAGCAGTTGAAGCTTTTTTTTTACAACTTAGAATGGCAAACAAGCTGACGGCTCTCCTGATGGAAAGGGGTAACCGTCGCCTATATACATGAGCAATACCTGCCATGTTCATATCAGCACATTGTTTCCCTCATGCGTTGCCATTCCTGAAAACTCGGGTGTTATTCCCCTGTACCTTGTAAATTCACTACCATATATATACACAGGTAGTCTATATAGATAGATATACATATATACAGATAGTACACCCTGAGAAAGGTCATAGACTACTTTATAGTGCGAAAAAAGTATTGTAAGGGATTAAAAGCGGAGATGAAAGGTTGTATAAAAGTATCGTCATTGTTTAATTGAAACAAAGAAACTTTTTTAGGTTATAATCTAAATATATTTCCTTTATTTGGTCAATTTCATTATACCACGCTGACGAAGTCGCGGACACACCTAATATACATATAAGGATGGGACCTTTAAATCAAAACAAAGCCTTGAAAACACAACTATTATATATAAATAAAATAATTATTTGCTAAGTATAATATTTAGAACAAGTGAATATGGCAATAATGTATCCGACTCTTATAATAAATTATATTGTATCTATTAATAAATAAACTGAATTAATATGTAAGAAGAATTAATTAGTAAATTTATGTTATAGTAATTTCATCTTCCTGTCCTTATCCCAATTATTTGTTACTCATATTACTTAAGGTTTTGGCTTTTAGTTGTACAATCGGCCAGCATCCTGACATCAACCCTCTAGGAATAATATAATAAAAAAATATGGCCATTATTAGCACTTTGATAATTAAGATAAATCACGTTATTTAAAAAATCCAATAAGTAGTTTATGTTACTCAGTTAAGTAGAAACATATCACATTATTAATTAAAATATTACAAGGATCAAAATGGTTCATACTAAATCCACACCGATTGAGCTACACGGTTATTTGCGTCTGTGTGCGTGTATTACTGTATGTGTGCGTAAATCCATGCGATTAAACCTAAAGTTGAGCGGCATCATTTTGTAATAGGCCTCTTAATATAGTAGTCATCTGTTTTAAATGATAGTTCTATGCAAATAAAAAAATCAATCCGATTGATAGATATAAAAAACACAGATAAAGGTCAGTCGTGAGTTTGATTGCTCAATGCTTGGGTATAGGCGCGGGAGCATCAATGCGCTGAAGAAATCGAAAGTTCCACCCACATTCGAGACTGTTTGGTAGGTCAACAATTATGTTCTCACATACATTACTTAACGTACGACCTTTGTTATCTGTTAAATAATGTTTATGTAATGTTACTTGTAACAGATAATATTATGATTGCACGTGAAATTCGGAACACACTTCCGAACTTTTGAAGACTCAGAAATAAATGATAAATAAAGAAATAGGATATTTCTTTATTCCATTTATTTTTGACATACTTATTTTTTTAACGTATTTTATTTCAGTTACAACTTCTAAACTTTATGCATTTTGATATTATACTACTAATTCTTATACAGAAATATACAATAATTACATAATAAAATATTTTTTTAAAAATAAATAAACATTAAAATTTCTTTTAAGAAATATTCGAATTTTATATTTAATTCAATATACAAAATATATGAGAAATAGATACATTAAAGACAACATAGTACATTAAGGCAACGCAATCTCGGTATACCTAACTCAGAATACGAAATAGAAACTAATTGACTACGAGTAACTGAGGTATGAGAATATTGAAAACAAGGCACGTTTGTATATATCTACGGTATCAGATGTCCAATACCGACTTATTATATCACGCGTTATGGCATGGCGGTAAGATTCGATAATGTGTCACACAAGTGCGTACACGCACTCGATCGCACTGGCAGAGCTTTGGTGACAACGCGCTTGCGCAATCTCAAAGCTGGTCTGATGACACCGATCTACAATCTGAAGTATAGTATGTCAACAGTTCAGGTCTCACATGACATAAGTATAACATAGTATACGGATGTAATGAGTGACTTGTGAGATTGTAATGTCATACTAGAAATAGTTTCTCTCGTTTAAAAATAGTGAATGAATCTGTTGTTTTAGTTAATGTGAAAATGTCTTTCTATGCAGATTTCAGTAACTTTTTATGTTTAATCAATACTTGATTTAATTAAGTCACAATGTCCACTGGAATTATATTTTGTATTTATAGTAACGAACTAAGTTTTTAACTGACTTTAAAAAGGCTCAATTAAATTAATTTTTTTGTATGTTTTTATCTAATTACAGTAGGAGTTTACTTTTTTCTTTTATATATAATTAACAATGTATATAATTGAATTGATTATTTGCTTGTTATATATTTACAATTGGATGATCTAAAAACATGAAGCCGTTTTCGTGAAGGTGTTGCATTCATTTTAGAGTAATATTCATTCTGTTATTTATAAAATAACAAGTTCGCTCATTCGTAAGGAATCTCAGGCATGCAGTGGGCACTAGCTCACCTCGATTATTCGATAAAATAAGAAAGGTTGTCTAGACTATAAATGTAGATGGTTTGTTCGCGCGGCCAACGTGTTGAAATTGATGAAAATTTAACTCAATTATAATAAATAATCAATCAATATACATGTCATGACAAAACAATGTTAATATAGAATGTAATAAACTATAAAAATATCATATAGTTTATAATAAAAGAGATTTATTTATATTTATAAAAAATAAATAAATCATAAAGTGATCATGTTTATTTATATTGGGTATAGATTAAAATACACAAATTAAAAAAAAGTTATAATATTATAGTTCTTTTCTTCTTTTTATGGAATACTTTAATTTTATCTACATTTTTATTATAATCAACGCCGTGCAACTTTAATTAATTTATTAGCGTTTTATTTCCTGGGATTATTCAAGAATTAAATAATTTTTCGAAAAAATCTGTACTCTTAGACATTGTTATATTATTATATCCTTCCTAATATTATGTGCTGTATGAAGCCATACTAACGATCTAGATCACTTATGTGAAATTTACATACTCTTGTAGAGGTTGAATTTAGTAATATCGATATGAACTCAAAACCAATGAGTCCATACCGATTACATAAAGTAATTAGCGATATTTTCATAGTAACGTATGTGTTGTAATTGACATGTTTCTGTATTGTGCTTATCGCTGGTATTAAAGAAATATTTGAATCATATTTCCAATAAGTAGATAGTACCCAATTTTTCCTGAGAAAATAACTAGTTCTAATAAATTATGAATATGATATTACAATACCAATAAGTAGATACTGTTTTACACCATATCTTGTTGTCTTACGGAGATGTAAGCACATTCCAAGAGACATCATTGCAAAACCACACGGATGGTTGCTTTCCTCGATGTCGCCGGTGCAAATGTCAACCAGTGTAGGCAGCTGTTGGCATATGTGATGCAATGCAACATAAGTACTTATTACTGTCTTAATTAGCAAACAACGACGGAGTCATAGATTAATAACAGTCTTTTAAATCGCAGCAAAGCAATTAATAATATTACCGTCATGTCTTAAAGAGCAGTTTCTAAAAAATGAGCTAAATTGCCTTGATCTAATTAAATAGTGTTTTAATTAAACTAATTAATATTAATTAAAAAAATACATTTATTGGGAGTACATATGACTAATAGGAATTATACATATTAGGCAAGAATGTTCCTGAATATTACTTGCCACAGTTTATGCATACGTTTATTGCATATGTTTGTTACAAGTATATGTAATAATTATGAACATTTGTAACAATATAAATTATTATATTAATTTAATATTTGATTCGTCTATGGACTCGTTTTTCTATAAAACAAAACAAAGATAGCGTGTGTAAGTAGAAACAATTAGTCAAAACCACAACAAATGTACCAACAAGGCGCGGTGACAACTGCACCGCATTGCATAACACGAGTTTGTCGTGTCGCATACCACAGAGAAAGAGCGGCCCTGCCCCAGACCAGAATGTTGCAAAATAAGCTGAGCGCCATTACCGCTTAACAAACCCCTTGGTGGTTTATTTTGTAATTTTAATTAAAATTCAAGAAGACTCGTGTCTTCGTTTCTTCATATCGCATTATACTTTATATTGGTAATTTATTTTGTTACGCACCTCGGTGTGGCTATTCGATTTATAATATTATGGATATGTTGGAAAACTAATTGACAAGGTCGCTTGAAATGATCAGAGTTATTATTAGAACGTATTTTGAAATTAAATAATGCGTGTTCGAAATTTCTGGAACAAGAAACTGGATTTCGTTGCTAAATATTATTAGCTGCGCTCGCAACTTTGTATGCGTGGTATTTTGAATAATAATTGGTTAACTTATTTAGTCGTTCGTGAATCGAAAGAAAAAGGAACGAAAGAAAACTGTTAAAGAAAACTTATTACAATACAATTGCAAACCGCATTCAACTATCATCTGAACTGATTTAAGCTGTTTCTGATGTAGGAGAGTGTATAAAAGCATTAAAGTGTATAAACAGACAATCTAAAAGCTATTTTGTTTATATGAGTACTTACAATTGTACAAATTATTTTTTTACGTACTTCCACTCGTTAATGATATTAATATATAGATAATGATAATTCATATTTTTAAATAACAACATCGATCTTAATACAATACCTGTAATTAACGTATTTTTACATTTACAGCGGCCGCCCAAGAAAGCTTCAAATGTCCAGATGATTTCGGCTTCTACCCCCATCACATTTCTTGTGACAAATACTGGAAATGCGACAATGGTGTCGCGGAATTGAAGACTTGCGGAAACGGTTTAGCATTTGATGCCACAGACTCAAAATACTTGACAGAAAACTGCGATTATCTGCACAACGTCGAATGTGGCGAAAGAACGCAACTTGGTACGACAATTTTACATTACTTTAAAAAAAAAAGTATCGAATTAAAAGTACCAAGAAATCATATTATTAATATTCTCTCTTTTGAATGGACACTATAATAATCTATGAATATTAACGTAAAGTCTTCAGAAATGTATTCTTATGTCTTTAACGTAGTAACAGGGAATCCATAAAAGATTCTCATCTAAAAACATTTGCGGTCAAGGTTATCTACTTTAATTTGCATAATATAAAAATCTTTACAACAAAACCAGGATATGGTTAGAAGGTCATTCAAACATTTACGCATTGGCTATGTGTCACAGTTATAATATTGTCACATATGTATGTCAACAATATAAATAAGATACAATAATTATTAACCTTGAACTAGAACCACTCCTTATTTTTTGTTCACTATACATAATAAATAAATCGAGACTTTTTTGTGGCTGTTCATCAATTTTTTATCAAACCAAAACCACAATTAATAACATCCTTTACTTTGAAACGTGATATCGAAATCACGAGAACTTTTTTTGATCATGGTGTTGCAACATAATATTCCATGTTTTTTAATTCAACAGAGCCTCCAATTTCAACTCCTCACTGCGAAAGGTTATACGGTATCTTCGCTGACGCTACAAAGTGTGACGTATTCTGGAACTGCTGGAATGGTGAAGCCTCCCGCTACCAGTGCAGTCCTGGACTTGCCTACGACAGGGAATCTCGTGTGTGCATGTGGGCTGACCAGGTCCCAGAGTGCAAAAACGAGGGTACGTTTCAGTTTTCATAGTTATTATATTTTATTAGTTTTGACACGCTTTAGCAGCGTGAATTCTGGTAATAAGTATGCTATGTTTTAAACTTATGCCAAATTTCATTCGAATCCTACCTTAGTTATTTAAACATAAATGAGTATGGAAATACACATAGAGAGTGACACATAAAAATTTTCCTATTTATTCATATTTATCAGTAGAATATTGTTTCAAATATTTACGAGGTACTTACAAAAATATAATATTTAATAAAACATAGTAAACTTCGAACTAAACAATTTTGCGAAATAAGCAATTTGTAAATTCATTAATTAACATTTATAATATGTTTTTATTTTGTTTCTATATATCTCTATTCATAGTTCACGACTTTTATGTTACTATAAGCACTACCACTTTAATGCACCTATCTCTTTCAGCGAATTTCCTCCGACTCTGCACGGCTGTTACTCGTCTATTTGATTTTCGCCTTCCGCACTTTTCATTCACGTAACCCTTTCTGGTATTTCCCAGAAGTAGCGAACGGTTTCTCTTGCCCTGCGCCTGGTGAAGTCTCCAATGCCGGCTCCTTCAGTCGCCACGCCCACCCTGAGGACTGCAGAAAGTACTACATCTGCCTTGAAGGCGTTGCCCGCGAGTACGGTTGCCCCATCGGAACCGTCTTCAAGATCGGCGACTCTGACGGTACTGGTAACTGCGAAGACCCCGAGGAGGTCCCTGGATGGTAAGTTTTATATTTTTCTTCGCTTAAACATAATTAGATGTCTGATTTAATCGACCCAACCACTAGCTTAATTTGTATCAGGTCACTTGAATATAGTACTGCACTTTTTGCTTATACCCTGCAGTTTGTAAAAATATATGAATTAAATCAGGCGTTTTTATTGTTCAAGTAGAACTACGTAACTTGAACGCTCAATTATCTTTTCAAACTCACTGGCTCTGTGGTGTTTGATAAATCTATCGTGGTATAGTTAACACTATCCTACAATGACTGACACACCATCTCTTTTTCGATGCATATATGTATATAAAAACATTTATGAAATGTACTAAATTTTACTCACAATTCTTGAGCATTATAGCATCTATGTAAATATTTGGTGTATCAGTGCGATAACCCAATATTAAAATATTTAATATCGAAACCCAGTAACCACTTCCAAGCAACCAATGACAACCATGTGACTAACAATTCTTCTGCACGCGTTCTTAAAGTGTTACCACAGATTAGCAGCACTTGTTTCATATAATGAGCGACCATATGAGTAGGTGTAAATTTTATAGTATAGAGATTGACGCAGTCGGCTGCTTAAGATTTAATGCTCGCCCACCTAAATACCTGGAAGCAAATGTGGTTCGGAGCGCGGTTACAACATATTTAGGTCAGCACTGAAATTAACATAACTTAAGATAAATTTCAACGGATATTATATGAGTCTTACTTGTTCGGGTCTTCGTGGTCACTGTCGACCGGCGCGTAACGGCTTCATATGGTAATGACCGTTTGTTTTATGCAAACATATCTCAACCATGCTAGATCCTTAACTGTACTTATATAAACGCTATAAGTTGTCAATACTATTACCTGTTATGCCTAGTTATTGTCCATTTGACACAGTATCTAATATTTAAAAACATCTCAAATATGGACTATTTGAAATTTTTAGAGCGATATAATTTTGAGGTATTATTACAAAAAAATATTAGTGACAATGTTCATGTACATTGATGGTGACCGCATTTAGTGGTGTCCGACAATTTAACCATTACAGTTATGTAAAAATTTATAATAGATACATATATAACATGTATTACTAATTATTTCACCATTAGATAGAATACTGTCACATTGTACATTGACCAATCCACTTACCATATAAATGTATACACCGAATCGCTATAGTTGTAAATTTTAAAGGGAAAACAAACGTTAGATAACGCTACAGAGAAATGCGAACGGATATAATTCTTGTTAGTATTTCAAGGCAATTCACTCAGTATTGCCATGTAAAAACAAGATTTTATTACACAATTCTTAGTCAGATGTAATAATACAGTAAATGTTGCTGGAAATTGAGGTAGCGGTTGTCGTAAAATAGGCAGTTAGCGTAGTTTTAAGGTAACCGTAGAAGCGGCAGGCAGTAAGTTGCCCGTACCTTTTCAGCGAGGACTACTACGGTGATTTGGATCTGAAGGCGATCCGCAAGAGCGAGCTCCTGGCTGGACTCCAGCAAGATGGCCAGACCCGCGTTACCCAGCCCAAGCAGCTCAAACCTCGCCCCCAAAAGGAGAACTAAAACTCTTTTCCCCACCTTAATCATATAATACTCACATCTTGAATTATAAACCAAACATGCTCGCGCGCCACCAGCAAAACCACTGAAATTATACGGGCTATACAAATAAATAAATTGGATGGAATTTGCTTGTGGCTCGCGAATATTTTGTTCCAGGTTCAAATTTAAAATTCGAATTTAGTGAGGGTATTTGTATTCGTTTCTAGTTGCCAAATACTTTTACGATGTAGCTTATATTAATGCAGTTTCACGAAGCCGGTTAGGAAATTAGATAAAATCATACAGCGATAGAAATATTTATTTTTATATTGTATATTAGTTTTGATAGTGTATATCGTAGAGATATCAAAACCGGTAGTAAGTTTGCCCGTCATGAGTACACAATTTTATGTATGTAAAGATTAAGATCAGGTTTGCATTTAGAAGTAGTTCTGTATAAAACAGAGAGCAATCACATTTCCATCATCCCTTCGTTAATTCAACACCATGACCTTGTAAATATTTTTTGTACTGAATTGTCTCGCTGCGACTGAGTGTTGTTGTTTGATAGAAACTGTAATACTTAAGTTTATTCTTAGTGATAATATTAATAAAAAAATATAAAATATTATATTGTTGTATTTATTCTGTATGTAGTATTGCACTATTGCACAATCTGTCTAACAATTACTTTCACACCCACTCTGTTTCCATTTTGATTGCATTCACTTTCTATTAACATTTAATATCGTCTTGGTTCCTTTAGATAATGTCTTTGTCTGGAGACTACTATATTACCTGATAATATCTGTACCTAACAATATATATGTCTATTGTGACATCTTTTGGGTATCTACAGGTATGTTCTTTTAATTTTCCTTAACTAAAACCTTGTACACATAACAATATCAAGTAACTGGTTAGTAAATGTGGTTTTTAAACATAAAAAAAGATTTTTTCTATTCTATTTTTAAATTGTAAAGTATTTTTTGTCTTTTACTAGCTTACTCGGTATTTGAACTATTATCATGATTTGCAGCGAGGATTACTATGGCGACGTCGACCTGAAAGCCTTGAAGAAGTTGGGATTCTGAATGACAAGGAGCGGCTCCAAGGGCAGACTGAAATTCAATCTTTATGACTTGATATGAATATGCCTCTTCAGATACAATTTTAGTTATACATAAAAACATACATTACCAACATACAATAACGTGGGTCATCATACAGAGTAATTATTTTGGTAAATAATTATTACAGGATTTTAAACCACATGATTTGGGTAGTAACAGTTTTGTACACAAAAGTGTCTACTGTGCAAGGTCTATTGTATATGGTTTTGTTAAAATTATCGTGAACTTAATACTAATTACTTATATACTAGAATGGATTTGAAATTGAGGTTCATTCTGTCTGAAGAGGCGCTCGGCACCATATTTATTGCCTAGACTTTTAGCGTTGAAAGTCTGCGACAGTTTTTTTAACTTATTTCAGTCAAAAAGCATATTCTTTAAATTTTATGGCCAATAACAATAATTTGATTATAAATAAAAAAATATAGGCACATTTATATACAGAATTCAACAGCAATGGAACTGTTATAGGTATTTTCTTTCGACTATTTTGAAAGAAGGCTGCTGCAGAAAAAGAGAAGATAAACTGATATTGTTGAAATCATAATGTGCTATATTATCATCTATAGTAGGTAGTTATTTGCATATTTATTTTCTACTGAGTTAGGAATTTTTCTTTCGAAATTATTATATGTCGAGCTACTGTTGCCAAAAAGAGCTTTCAGAGATTACCTTGACATGGTGCCAACATTTATATGTCGGTGCTATGTCGAAATTAATGTTGATTTAGTCATAAATGTAAAATTTAAGTTAAGATAGTACATTAATACGGTTTTATGTAAATAAAATTACTTTTGTATTCTTTGTTTGCGTACTTATTTGGTTAGTCATTTCTTTAGATATATGTATTAGATAAATAACTTTTATATATGTATATGAAAACAAAATCAAAACATTCGAACCTTTTAATATATGTATTTACGTTTAAACGTGGAGCTAAATTTTATACGCCGTTCTAAGTTATTTTCATTAATATTTACTATAAAAAAGTTAAAAAAGTAAAAGTGTATACATTACATATTTATGTAGTAAGCACTTTCCACTAATATTATAAGTGTGTGTGTATGTTAGACTCTGTTTTCTGTATCTAACCTGACATGAAGGGTTATGAAAACCTGTTTGTTTTTTTAAAAGTGTTGACACATTTTTATCCGACCTACCCGAGTCAGCGGTAAACGCCAGTCGGGTTGTAGTAAAAGCCGACAGGATGGGGATGTGGTCAGAATTGATCCAAGTTATCGCAAAATAATGGATGGTTTCGCAAGAGACTGCATTTGGGTTGACCTAATGAATTGAAGCAATTATACTCCTTTCTGATGTTTGAATATCTGTAATTCTATCATAGTTATGTGGATTTAAATAACATTAGGTGCACAGATGTATCATATCCACTTTTATTACATAGGACAATTAGACTACCTACCTACCTTTTACAGGAAAGTGATGCAAGACGCAGAATACAGCAATATTATTTGTGAATAATATATTAATGGTTTCTCAAGTTATGGGTTACACGATAGTTTAGTTAGATAAGCACCTAGATATTATATTATGGTCATTGATTATTGGTTAACGTATAGTATTATGACACAAATTCATGTATCCATCGGACCGTGAATTATTGATGCTTCGTAATATTAATACAGATGTAGGTAGCTACATTAACTTTGTTTATAGTTTTATATTTTCCTGACTAAATGAAAGCTTTCAGTGAAGTGTAAAGAAAAGTTACTTTGTACCTATATCACGAGAAAGTAATAAGTGCTATAATGGAAACTATAATCTGTGGAATTGTGTAATTCATTTTATGTAAACCGGATATAAAATATTTTAAGCTCTTAAGTATTATGGTAAATGTTCCGTCCATTTATATAATGTTTTCAATTATGATCTATACACTAATATGTATAACTATAAGGTATGTTTGTTTGAACGCGCCAATTTTTGAAACTACCAGAATGAATTTGAAAAATAGTTTACATTTTTAAAATTTTATAGCCCAATGCTAGGTGATCACACTGGGACCATTTTGCAGACGAGAAAAATGAAGAAATGGCAAACTAGAGGAGTATAACAGCATAGGTGGACGGTACTATGTACAGGCTATTTATTCTAGGCTAATAGCTATTTATTCAGAAAAAGCAGTAACTGTTTATATAGATAATATATTTTCCTTTTTTAAAGTATACATAATAAGAATGTAACTGTTCGCTGTCTGTCTATGGAAGATATATGAGATAAAGTATTATTGGAGGACTTTTTAAATATAATAGAACACGTTTGTGGGTGCTAATCTCAAAAAGGGCTAAACTAATTTGGGTGCAGTTTTCAATAATATATTGTAAAAACTTCACTTAAAATAAAATGTTTGTTGTATTCCAACTGGTTTACAAAGAAAAAAAAAATACGTGTATGAAGTTAGAGCTACATTTTCATTCCATTATAGTGAACTCGACGTGAAACATAAAGATAAAGAAAAAACTAATTTTAAAAAGTCTTTTATTTCTTAACATAAATTACAATATAAATTATAATTATTTGAAAGTATAGTGTCAGTACAGAGTATGTTATTCAGTTTTGATTGTCTAGGTGCTATTGGCACGACGTAATCACTCAGTTTTGGTGAATAAAGACAGCAGCTGACGGATGGCATCTTCACGAGATGACGCTTCGTGGCCAGCTATCAAGCCTGAAATTTTAATAAGATATCTTAGTTCTATCAACACTAAAATTTGAATAAATTATAAATAGCTACTATTTTAATGTGGAGAAACATATTATATAACCAAATATAACATTTAAGTAAATTACCTAACTTTATAAAGCAAGTTAACAATATTTAGCACACTAGCTTGCTTGCAATGTTTGTTTCCCGTATTATTAGGAACCACAACAATTTAATTTATTTGTTAATGAATATAAATATAATACAATTATTTATACTCATTAACAAATAAATTGTTATGGTATTGTCTGTATCGGTATTATATATGTATTTGCAATAAAATATTTATACGTATCTAATAACTGTTTGAAAGTTCTTCTCAGTTAGTTTTGTTGGTTTCAACAGTTTTCAACGTATTTAAATCTATATAAACATACATATATCTGAGACCATAATTGGTCAGTACTATTGAATTGCTAACCCTATAATCTTGATAACAGTTTAGCATACCGCTTTACTTCCGATGATTGCGGGTTCTAACCCTCGCACAGTGAAAACATTTGTATTCACAAATATGATTGTTTGTATTGGTCTGGACTATTTTCTAGCTATACTACAGTCGCGTCAGTTGTCTAGTATCCAAGTAAAATCTGCTTAACTTGAGACTAGATGGCACTGTGTGAGTTGTCCTGGATTATTATTATTATTGATTTTGTTTGCTACTTACTTTCACTGTTGAATATCGAATTCCTGATGATGAACGTGTTCCCGACTTCTTTGCTAGGCGCCAACGTAGGCAAAGCAGGTACTGTTGGATCAACGTTGCTAGAAGGCACTGTTGGCGAGACTGGTAGGGCGGGCGGCGTGGCATCTACCGGCAGTTCTACTGGCAGATCAGCCTGGTATATTCGGCAGTTAACATTGTCTGCATAGTCACATACTCCAAGTCTCTGAAATTATATACATCAAATAACAGTTACTATACTTATAACACTTAGGTACCTCATTGATATAAGTTTGTTATTTGTCTTGATTAGTATCATATAGCGAGACATATTTGAAAAAATATTATAATGATAACTTAGTACTGTAGTGAATCAAATACTTGGGAGAAGGGGATGGGCTAATGAGGACTTGTGGCTCAATTGCTATATACTATCGTGGTTAATTCTTGGTGAATTCGAACTAACTGGCCTAACTCATCATTTTCATTTATTGTTAGCACGCCAGCACCAATACAGCAGGTGCGTACAACATTCCATTATCATCCGTTTAAAAAATAATAATACACAGATATGCAATAAACTAAAAATACTAATGGTGAGCAATCGTCGAGTAAATATATGAAGCAGCATTATGAACCAGGCACCACTTATATGTTGCTATTCTTGAGGACGATGTTGTTATAACTCGCTAAATTTAATTCTTAAAACTGGAACAGCTTGCAAAGTAATCGGGCAGGAACTTAGCGAATTTTATACCATGATTGTACAATATATGTCTAGAAAGGTGAGTTAATAACCAAGCTGATGGGAAGAAATTACTTTTATGTAAAAGCATGTCACAAAATACGAGTCCATAATATTTTCATGGAAAGACCCTAATGAACTAAGCTGTCATGTATATACATAACAATTTCAATATCATAACGCAATCTTTAAACCAAATCACTTTAGTATCAATTAACGATTATTAACAGATAAAGAAATTGCAAAACTTTGAACGCAATTAGGAGAATTTATTGATTGTTAAAGTGAGAATCAATATTACATACAAGGTTAAAATTAAGGAAAACATGTCCACTAAACTTGATTCTCTTCAAAAAATACCTGTTAACAAACTAGTTTTATTGTATTTATTTTTAGTATAAGTTAGTATTAATAAATAAATGACGTAGTTGATTGGTAAGAAAAAGTGGGAACATATTTCAACAGCAAAATATTACAAAAACATTGCCACTAAGACAAATTAATTATTATCTATAAAAAATCCGCTCGAAACCTGAGCGAATCGGAATGCAAATATGATAAAGATCACATATTTATTCAATAAAAAATATTTTTTTTTTAATGCTGATAATGTAGCTTTATTTTAGAAGGAATGATAACAATCGGGTAAATATTTGTTTTATTTATACCCGTTAAGAACAAAAATTCCTCCTTTTAATGTTTTAATAATAATAATGAGGGAGTGACCATATCAAACGGTCTCTAATGAAAACTATGATGCTAACATAGCTAATATAACGTACTAAAAACCGATGGGCTAACTGACCCGACATCAGACTCGTCTTATTATCCTTACACTGGTACCCTAACAGCATATATCATTACCACGGATACACAAATGATGCACTATTCTATTATCATCTTAAAGAAAAAATATGACAGATTCGATACCCAATAAATTATAATTTTCGTTAGCCAATGATTGAAACTATATGTTGTAAATAAAAAATAAATGCTTTATTTAAGGTTTTACTAATTCAAGGCAACATCCGGTCGACATTTCAGGTTTGTTTGTTATTTCGAAGGAAACTTATGTTTAATAATTTTGATATGCCTAGTTGGCAAATAAGTATTCTTACTTATTTACCAACTAGACATAATTCTTACTACATTTTTAAGTTCTCATCAACGTTTCAACAGACAATATTCAGTAAGTAGTACAGTTATCCTGTATTTTAAACATTTTTTTCTCATTTATCACATAAATAATTGGAAGGAGAATGCGGATGGTTAAACAGGGTTATCTCGTTGTACTCGAGGTCAGTTAGTCATATGAATTGTTTGGTATTCCTGAATGGGCGATTAAGAAATATAACAAGTGGCAACTTTAATTCCTCAATCCGTAGAATACCATCGCCAATATTAATTTCTAAAGACAATACTGCCTAATGTTTTTCTTGTCCTTCAGTCTCGCACTGATGATGATTATTTTAATGTACAGAAAAAACTAAGAGATAATAAAAATATTGACTGTAAAATAGAATATAATTTTTATGGGATTTAATGATTTAATGTATTATATGAATATGTATCGAATCCCCGTATTGTCACTACTCCATCGACTAGTAATATCGATATTAATAATTGTACTTTGTAATTGTACATTATGTACTTAAATATTATACTTAGTTATTACTTACTTCATTATAGGCGAGGTTCGCAGGACACTTGAACTTAATCGGCTGCCTACTAACACACACGAAAAACTCATTACAGTTGTATTGATTCCTGTAAGACTGGAAATCCCGATTGCACGAAGTTTGTACTGATGCTAAAAATAAAAGCGTAAAAAATATTAAAAAATATTTTTATGCATATTGTACTTTTGACGCACTATGCGTTAAGCAAACTTAATAAAACAATGACTGAATAACTATGTGAAATGAAAAAGGTATAAATATGATAAATACAATATGTGATTATGTAAAAAAAACGATTTCTGTTGTGAATAGTATTGTAGATTTAGGTAGTATATGTTTATGCACATATACATACGTATATGTATCTCGAAATCGGTGCAGAATTATTCAAGACGTATTTTATTGAGTTAGTATTATTTTGCGGAAGTCCATTTCATTAGTTAATGTAATAAACAAAGTAATATAAAACTGTTAAGTATTTTAGATGTCACAATAAAATTCTTAAATTGAGAATCTCTTATGAAGTCTGAAGTATGAAAACAGATTAACATATATTTTAGTTTATAGATAATCCGAAATACAGGCGGATGTTTTACATACTGGAACATGACGAATAAATTATAAAGGTTACAAACTGTGCAGTTGTGTAACTACAAACTGATGCCATTACATAATATCCACTTGACATTTTCATCTGTCGACATCACTATGATCACACATGTCATTTGCATAATATCATTTAGCGTTGTTTGAATGTGTTTAGTGTGCGCTATGGGGAAGATGATTATACACATAAATGACATAATATCATTTAGGTAATGTGTACAATGTATAGAGAACAATCTAAATTTACAAATGCACCATATGCATCACAATAAGAAGAAAGAATATTCCTCCACATTGGAAAGAATAGTAGATCATGCCATCTTTAAAGTACATTCTATGTACATAGAAAAATTAAGTTAAAATTGTGAAGTATTTAATAAATAGGAATTTACGACATAAATAATTTTAAAACATTTTGTGTATTCGAATTTGTTTAAAAAAAATAATAGTAAAATTATTAAATAATCATTTTATGACAGATATTCTTACAGTAGTAGTACACATCACATTAATGGGATATTTTACATGATTATATTATTTAAATGGCATTGTAATTAAATATATCATAATTTCAATACGGATGATAGTTTCAATAGCGTTAGGTAGGTCTTAACAACAAGGGTAAGGCAAGATATGATAAAAACTAGAACTTATAGAAGAGTATGTTTTGTCGTGACTATCAAGTATTTTCCGGAAGTAGTGGTCAAGGTGTACTCAGAAAAAATCTAAGAAAGTTAGTAGACAGATTTACTATCTCTAGTCGACCTGTGACCTGGTCACTTGTAATAGGGCCGAATTATCTAGCGTTATTATTATGTGTACAACTTTAAACTCGTAAAAAACTTTAAAACAGTGTTTATTCTTATGGGGAAAGTATGTGTAGTTATCACTATACATATCACGAGTATAATAGTAGTAGAGTAATAGTGAATTAACATACATGGAATCATTCTATTTTTACAATCCACGTTGTCAGCGTAGTCACATAAACCAGCGTTAGAGAACAATAAACCTTCAGGGCACTCCTGCTGGAAAGCCCATCCGTCCCAGCAGTCCAAGAATGATCGACAAGACTTGGGAGACGAGAACGAACCTCTCTTCCCAGCACAGAATGCGTTGGGCTCAATGATAGGTTCATTTCGGGATATGATCAGTTTGTTCTGGTTTGCGGGATTCTTGTTTATGTTTTGAATCACTCTGTCCGATACGGGGATCATGTAACATGCTGGGACACCTCCAATATTTAATGGCTGTAATGTACGTTGGAAAAATTAAGCCTTATAAAAAAGTTAGAGAACAGTTTCTCTTCAGTTTTTAACTGATGGCAATTAAATTCGTAGTTAAGAGTTTTTATTTATGAGATGAACGTGTAATATAAAAATAAATAAATAAAATAAATACTTCTTTCTATAATCGGTATACCAACAACATATCTACCTGATGTAAATTCGTAAATACTCGTCGCCTATATACGTGAATTTTAAGTACAATAAACAATATGTCATCGTTATATCTTTCATAAGGTAAAATTCAACAGAATTTAGTAATACAGATTTCAGTTACTACACTGTTTTTTAAGAACATTTAAACCGAAACCCAGAATTTAATGTTATCATTTGAAATTGTATCTATTGGGAATAATTGTAAAAACAAGGTAAATCTATATTATTTCCAGAATTGTTTGGGTTTAATTAATTATATTATTGTTGAGTATCTCACTTACCCGAAGGTAATTAAAGAAGGGGTTGAAAAGTGCACTGAAGAAAGGGAAGTTTCCAGCGTTGAGAAAGAGATTTCGCAATAAGGAATTTCCATAAGCATTCACCAAGTGTCCATCTTCGTCGTAAACTGAAAAGAAAGGTTTATTTATAGTTAATATACTTAATATTAGAATTTATAGATATCAGTCTAACTTAGATAGTAGATAAATATATTTGTATAACATTATATTTCCAACCTTTTTTTTATAGTGAAGGCCCAATAGGATGTCTTATAATAATCTTATAAATTTATAATAAGTAATAATCATCTAGGACCACCGTTTTACGACCGATGGTCGCAGGTTCAATTCCTCGCACGGCACAAACGTTCATGAGTCTGATTGTTTGTGTCGGTCTGGGTGTTTCCTATTTATAATATGTATTTATTTAAAAAAATATATATCTTTATATATGTATCAGTCATCTAGTACCCATAACACAAGCTTAACTTGGGTCTAGATGGTGCTGTGTGAATTGTCCTGAGATTATTATTATTATTATATTATTATTAATCATAATTAAATTGTTATTAAAAATTTATAGACTATTTTAACTCATAATAAGTTAAAATTATTTTGATAATAGTTTGTGTATATCAATAACCTCTCTATCATAACATATCAACTCTGTTCCTTATAAGGATGTGGTAGTAATAAAGCACATTAGGTACTATTCTGCCGGACGGGTATGAGAAATGACAAACGAAATTCGTTACAGGGCACATACCGGTTGCAATGATTAATAGTTGCTAAAGGATCAGTGCAGTGCATAAATGCCACTAGAATATTTATTCATGAGGATGCCATTTTGAGAGCAGTCGCATTATAGACAGCTATGAAATATAGCAGCATTAAATGGCAGAATTTGAGTGAGTGGGCATCTGTATATTAGTTATTTCTGCAGAAGTAAACAACTTTTATCTCTTTCATCCGGTTCTGAGGCTGAGATAAGGCAGTGAAATTACAGGATAAGGAAGCAAGACACTTTGGATAATGATTCATTAAAATTTGTTTATATATTCATTTGTATGCAAATTAATAAATTTTGATGAAGTAAATACATTATTACAACATTAATGACCAACTAATAAGAGGTTGTATTGCATTGCGGCGGTGTTATCACAAGTATTAGAACATTTGGATTAAGGGACATTTGTATAATCTGAACAAGTTTTTAATTTGAAAATAGCATGATCGGTGCCCTGATTGTGGTGCATGGCACGCACCTTTAAACTTCAATTTCTGATCAAACTAAACATTGTCTTAAGGCATAATTTCATTTGACTGTTACACCAACCACAACCGCTAAACGCACTATAATTATGGTCTTGATCCAATTAAGTCAATTATTATACATCTGGAAAACATTTGATTACACATTATCCAATAAAAATGACTTAAAACGCAAATTATTTTTATTTTTATATAATTGGAATGAAAAATGACCTGAAATGATTATCATAACAACTTACCATCACATCACCGATAATCTGTATTAAAATAAAAATTAGGGTTTAATTTATGTAGATATATCAATGTTAATATAAAAGTTTTATTTAAACATATTGTTATTTACTACATATAATATAATATAGACCGCTTCATTTGATTAACAGGACGCCGATCGATATTGCAAATGACAAGAACATTTTCTTTCTTCACACAAATTAAAGTACCATAAAAATTATAAGTATGTATATGTAAAATCATAAAAGCAACTACAAAGTAGTAAGAATATTGCTGTGTCATAGTTCACTTGATTATAAATGTAGCACAGGTGGTTTGCTATCAAACTTTTACATATACAAACTTATTTTTAAATAATTACTGATGAGACGCGACCAGTGATAAAAAAAAGTTATTAAAAATCAAGGAAACTAGTAATACATAGATATTAGAAGTAGAAAAACAAAGGAATACAAAACGACGATAGACGCTACTAACTAAAATCAAGCTACAAAAATAAAACAAAGCACTTATACAATGGCATTTTTTTTAATTCGTTAATAATCTATCGTTTTAACATGAAGAAACATTGACAGTTGAATACAACCAATTTCAACCAGTCACCATTTGTCGCTCGCGCAAACAAAACAAAAACACATTGGCGTGATTTATATTACGTATATTTGCAAGCATAATGTTCTTATAAGATTCTGTCATTTATTGCGCTATTATTTTTTTATTGAGGAGTTTGGGTTACAGTCAGGTATTCTCCGTTTTTCAGAGTTCGATACCTAGATCCGTCACGGACAAGAATTGAGGGATATTCTTAGGAGTAATGGTTTACAATTATCTCATTGCGCTAGCTAGAATGTGTAACATTCTGTTACTGAGGGAACTTTTTAAAAATATTGTTTAGTTGAATCTCGATTTTATAGAGGTTAAGATTTGTTCACAAAGTCGTAGATTCAATCCCGAACAATATAAATGTCAGTATTTATGACTACTTTTTTGTGTTGTTCTGGGGATCTTTTCTATATATAAATATGTATGTCTATATATAAATATGTTCAGTTAAGAGAATATCTTTGAATCAATAGTTGGATTCATTTATAAAATAGATGTTTAAAGATAAACCAATTAATGGAATTATATTGATTGCTTTAATTTATTATGGTCATAAAAATCCTTGCATGAAGTTTGCAAGATTTTAGTAAACTGATTAGACGGTTCGTTCACAATATACTTCATTGACACATGCATATTGTCTGCTACAATACGTGTGGGGAGAGGGCGTTGTTAGTATTTTGAACGAGCAATGTCATGTTTAGTTCAGTTAACCTCCACGAAGTCCCCCTTAGAAACCAAACTATTGTGTTTAATTCCTGATCATCATGATTCATGACAGACCTGATTTCATTACTTTCCACTGGTGTCCCACCTACAGAATCTACCGTTATCGCTTACAGACACACAAATGCATGTTCATATATCAAAAATAAAATAATTTTTTCATATGTTATGTAAAGTAATTGACAAATTAATTTAAGCAATTAATTAAAAGTACATTATATTTATAATCCACTAAACTTAATTATAACCTATAATTAAGTTAGTGGTTTATAAATATGTAAATTATTATTAATGTCTAATTATAAGATTAAAATTTATTATCATATTATATTATAGTATTTTAGCAATTTAGCCCATACTAAAAATCTTTTTTAAACATATTTAAAATACATACGTCTAACGTCTAATTCTTATTGATTCTTATATTGATCCAGTAATTACATACTTATTTGTATATTGGTTAGCACGGTCGCCTACATTAAGTAAAAACTACACCACTGTCTGTACTTAGTCGTATAATTCGAGTTTTAGTAATTACATCGGAGTCGTTACGAGATGATGTTGCTGTATGTAACAGGTTCTACAGTTGCATAAATAGTAAATTGATGTTAAACTTAAATGGGTAAGTACATATGGGCGTAATGAGGATTTAGCTAGATCTACCGTCGAAATGAGAAGTTTAGGATGGACGATTTAATGATTTATTTTGTTAATAGTATTGAAAAAGAAATTTTTCTTTAAGGTAATAATTATTTTTACAATAATTTCCACAAATTAAATCATATTCAAAATGAAACTCATGCGTGTTACTAAAATATGGGTAATTTATGGAGACACAGTGTATTTCAAAAAACGATTGATTATAAGAAAATAACAATTATGATTTATAAATTAATTAATTTATAAAATTTCACTAGTTTTTTATTACATTCAAGTAGTTTTTTGCGAAGTGCGAGCGAGGAATAATGTGATTGTGAACATAAATGATTGAAAAAGAGAAAATATTCGACAACATACCCATATATTATTAAATACATATTAAGTATATATATTTATTTATAGATATTACAAAGAATATTAACATTATTATTTAATGGTAGGAAATTTTTTAATTGCAGTAATTAATGCCAAGAGATTAATGACATAAAAAAAATGCAAAAGCACAGAAAAATTGCAATCAATACAGTATTTATTAATTAAAATTTTGTTTGGATTCAATATTTCTGTCCAATTATATCTGTGTGGACTTTGTGAAGACTTAAAAGTACATTAGCATATTCTCAAAAAGACTAAAAGATATTCATAGAGATTATTTTCTGTCTTAAATTTTATTGTATTATGGTTATTAATTAAATATTACATTATTAGTAATTAGTAATAATAAAAATAATGTTTTACTACAGTTTTTCCTAAAATGGCTTCTTATGGCTACACAGCGTATTACGTCTTGTTTGCAACATTATATATGTGATAATATAATAATTGGAGCAAAAGACAAATAATCTAAATAATATAATAATATTTAATTTTTGTTTTAAACAATGCTGTTTTTACCAAATATAGCGAATTACGATTATATTTGCTATTAAATTATTAAATAAATAATATTTTTTCATAATTTTATAACAGATTATTCTTACATATTTTACTGAATTTATCGATAAAAAAAATCAATTATATGGGCACTAAAGGATAAGAAAAGTAAAATAAATTTTATAAATTTCACATTTTAGTTTCCTATAGTTATCCTGCAAATGAATATTTTTTATACAATAATATAAAGTTACTCACATAAAAACCTCTTCTGTCGGTTTGTTTCTGATGTGGAACCATCGGCACGTCCACAGAGAGCGACTACCAAAGTTGTCAGGATGATAAACTTGATCTTGTACATTGTCGATGATCCTTTACCGGTGAATGTACGAGGACAGTACTGCAGGGCAATGTCAGGGATAGTTGCAAAGGCTAGCTTATATAGGCTCAGACGATGGAAACAAGTACTCACATATACATACGTGGGTTCTAGTTTTAGCCGGGATGTAAAGGAATCCTAAAAGGATATGCTTGTTCTACAATATGAGCAATAAAATTAACGATAACTTCTTACCTTTGCTTGCTGTTTTACGAAGTTGTAGGTACGTTGTTGTGTCCTTTTTAGATACATCCATACGTGATTTGTAGAAAAATAGAGGTATTAAATATCATATGACACTATATTTGTCAGTTATTAAATTTTTGATGAGTCAGCTTTTATTATAAAAGTATGATATTGTAAATAGTAGCTTATTTACAAATATGAATTTTATGAGTTTTTAGTTAATATTGTATTTTATAATTATTACACTTGATAGAGTTTCAGGAAACTCAGACCTTTAACTTGAATATTAACATTTATGAAAATTATACCATTTAAAAAACATATTCTATTTAAAAATAACGCTTCACAAATAAAAAATAATCTTAGATTCGTCGTAAATCGTCTTATTATAGTATAGAAATGTCAAAGATTTGATATAAATTTCTAACATCTATATTTATAATTTTACTAATATTATTAATTAACTAATGTTATGGATGAACTGAATGATTAATGTTTTTTACTTTTTCACGCAAAAACTACAGAATAAATTTTAAAAATACTTTACAATAATATAGTTTATACATCGTAACAACATATATACTAAAAATTTTACGCAGATGAAACAGTGGGCACAACTAGATATATTATCTGTATAGATTTTTTAAATTAGGTAAAATAGTGATTCATAATAGTGAAAGATACAATGCTTCACATTTAATCCATGCTTCTAAACCAAGTGCGTGTGAATAAAGATTTATCTATTATCTAAATGCGTTTATGCAAGCAGCCCTTCGATCTTGATAAATGCCTCAGGCTCGCCCGCCGTTTATACATCCACATATCACTCAATCTTTATCTTGATTAAGACTGCATTGCGGATGATTACTGGCACTTTGTATTTGCAATTGCTAGGATTATGTCTGAATAATGATATTACATAAATAAGATTCCAGATATATTGAAAATGGATCAGCTAATAATATATTCCAATGTTATTTTCTGAAATTAAAAGCAAATTAGTTCCACTGCTATCACTAACGTTGTAAAAAATCGCTTAACGTTTTATAAGGACGGTCATGTAGAAATGTGTTTTTAAGGCTAATAAAGGGATGGTGCTCTCCGCCTTTGTTAATGGTTTACGTGACGGAGCTCCAGGAGAGGATGATAAAATGAGCATGAAATCAGGTCAGTCAGCCCATCTTGGCAAATGTCAATATACTACGATGGTTTCCAGGGGAAATCGCCTGGAGGTAAACCTGACATGGTGCATTGCTATATAACAATTAAGTTTTTAGTCCACGTTACTAACAATTCCCTACCCCTTGCAGAAATGATATATTGTATTATCTTGTTAGTGATATTATATAGTCTGTTATGTAGGAACACATGATATTAACAAGAGATGGCTACTAGTATTCTATTAGGCCTTTAACCAATATTAGGTATAGCATATACATTGGCTTAGAGAACATGAAGACAACACATAGAGACAACATAGTCCCAGATTCTATGCCTGTAGAATATAAACGTTTTTATTATTAATCATGACTATTTGTGTTGGTATATTACATACATATCTACTCAGAATATATTTTTAAATCTATGTTTCATATATCTATTGAAACTATAAGTTTTCATAGTTTGCAACTAGATGGCGGTTTACGGTATACATATAAAAGGTTATTTATTACAATGTATTTATAGCGATATATAAAATAAAAGGTTTTCGAATAAATGCTGACAGGAAATGCGACTGGGTGTTAATATTAGTTACATATCAAGAGTATCATGTAAATAACAATTAAATTTATATACCAATAAATATTTTCACAATGGCGTTAACAGTAATATCAATTCCTGTTTGTTCGTTGTCATAAAACGTGTGATATTAAAAATTTATTGTAAATAATTGAGAAAAACAGACCACAAATTCATTACCTCGATTGTGAAATATCTTTGTTATTGTGTATGTTTTATTTTAGTTATTTCCTGATTAACAACATTCGGGAGGTATATAAGCGTGTCATGATGAATCTAGTCTCTTAATTAAATGTAATAGAGCTTTGAAAGAAAAGAAATATATTAAATTATAGGTAATACAATAAATATTAATTTATTACTTTGTTTTAATGCAATAAATTGTTTAATATTAAAGAGATGTTATACTATTATATTATTGTTTATATTAAAGAGATGATAACATAGATTACTGGCTATTTGGATAGGTAAATAAAAAGTATAATAATACTTTATTTACTTTATATTTTTTAAACTCTAAAATTACTTTTAATAAATTTACTTTGCATAAATTTAAAATGACATAAAATTATGGTTTATTGGTTTAATACCATAATTTTGTGCGGACATTCTAGCACAATGTTGGCATATGTTCCCGCGTCAAGTTTGCGTATTCCCTTACTCTTATTTTACATATCTAGTTTAATTAAGAGGACGCCAACGCTCACCGCTATTAACTTACCTTTATCTAAATAATATTATTTATTTAATTAATTGTGATCGTCGTGGCCTAGTGGTTTACTATCCTGATTTATAGCCAAGAGGTCGTGAGTTCAAATTTGTTCCATACCAAAAAACCTTGTATGTCAATTTATATTTCTATCTGAATTTTTTTTGTGACTAAGAAATTTATATTGTTGGTGTTTGTTGAGATGCACACATATAACAATTGTGTTTTGTTAATTCTAATAATTATTTATAATGATAAGTAATGTTCATTTTTATAATTTAATGCTATATTTTAGTCTCAGTTTAGGTATGTTTTTTTTTCAATTATTACTACAATAACAATCATTAAAAAAATAAGAAAAATATTATATATTGATATTCCGCATATTTACGTTATAAATATATTCAGATATTTATAAACTCATAGATATTCTGAAATGTAAAGTCAGCCAGTCTTCTTATTCCAACATGCGGATAGATTTATAGTGCGTATCTTTGACAGAAGACGAGTCGGCCGCACGATATGTAACAACTGATAAAGGTACGCATCTCGGAACTTGCTTATACTTTAATCAAATGATTATATAGTTAGTCATAAAAGCCAGTAAAAATATTATGTTAATACATAGTTGCAATGCATGAGAATATGATTTTTTTATTATTTATTTAAGGATGGTCTCCAAATTAAAAATATAATTAAATAATTTTGATCGTTGGTATAAAATTATAGTGGAATGAAATATTAATCGTGCAAGAATATTCTTATATGTACTGTCATTTAGTATACTGTTAATTTATAAAGGTATATTAATAAGGCAAATTAATTGTAACATACAACATATAAAATCAGGCCACAATGTTTGTAATGGATAAATTCTGAAATTACATGTTCAATTTCTATGAAAATTTGGATAAATAAATTTGGCTCCCTGTCTGTCACTAAAATTTGGTCTATCTTTTAAGGCAAGTTTTTGAGTTTATAAGTGACCTGCAATTTTTTTTACTTTGGTTAGAATATGATTGAGCAAAACAATGATTACCGAGTCAGCTTGATTTGTTACCTTTTTGGAAGAAGTCAACAAAGTAAGGGAAGTAAAGGCCCTTTGTTAGTAAGTCCACGAAATAATCCCTATATTCCTATTTTTAATTTACCTAAGAGAAACTGTCAATTGTGCAACATATGTACATACGCTTTCTAGCGCATGAAAGTGAAGATAGAAAGATGTGCACGCGACACTTTGTGGATACCTTTCTTTTGTGTTATAAATCTAAGTCGAAACGGTCGCATATTTTTTAGTGTATGGACTATTGCGTCCTATATTTATTTTCATGTTGTGATTGCTGAGGAATTTTAATTAAGTTCGAAATATAAAATATATATGCATATTGGTATGAAATTATAGTGTAGTATTATAGGAAATATTTTTAAATGCAGACTGCATTTATACTATAGGAAACTGGAAATTAGAATACTAACAACTTTAATGTTTATTTTACTTTTTTTTTACTTATAAGATAAACTTATATTTAATTAACAGTTTTTTCTAGCTGAAGTATATTTAACATATATGTACTATATACTAAGACATCTTAGTTAAGATCAAACCAAACCAAACAAGAGAGACTTCTGTTTGTTTATTCTGTTCTATTCATTCCATCTACCTAAGTCCTGGTTTACCTGTAGCTACAATTATTTTGCTACTATTTCTTAGTATTTTCCTGTGATAACTTACAAATCATTTATATACTTAGTTCAATATGCATCCCGGCTGCGACTAATTATAATGCATAAATCATTCATTAATGTAAATTAAATTCATAGTTATCTAAATTATATATTGCATAAATTGCTGGAATATATTAATAATAGTAATGTAATGTTTTTAGTTTAATTCTGTGCTTGATAATCAACTTTTTTCAATATAAAAATAAAATATTTATTTATTGATAGTGATGTACATATTTACTAAGAATACATTTTTAAAATTACATCGATATTAGGTACTATTTATTATATTTTTATATCTTTTTAAAATATAGTTAAAGATATATCTATTTATCATTTGGGCCCGGCGTAATTTGTTTCTATGTAATATAATAGGTACATACAAAATATAAATACATAAAGTTTATGAATCAACACCAATATAGCCTGTTCAATAACTTTAAAATTGGTAATCAAATTAAAATGTGGTAATTGAAAATGTTAATCTACTAACTTGACTCCATTGTTAAGCAATAAAGATTTCATTATTACACATTAACATATTTAAGTAACTTCCAAGTAATTTTGCAGCATAGGTAAGTTTAAAACTTGTCAAGAATTATAAACTAATTTATTTAATAAATTAAATTTAAATCCCCAAGTAATTATTATATTAATCAAATCAAGTTCTAGTTCCAGAAGCTAATATTCTTGCTGCGCACGTAAAACAATAACAGGATTCGAAGTATATCATATGTTTTAGCTCATGAATGAAGAGTGCAGTTGTATACAACATAAGGTAGGTGCGAATGAGATGCTGATATACTGTAACCTTTCTCTGAGCCGCTGAGCAGCTAAGAGTGGATGACAAAAAGTGTTAAAGTCAGTGCGCCATTGAGTGCGGTGCGGGCGTCATTCAAGCCTAAAATAAGTTAGAAAAGTCACATAGTAGTGACATTTAAGTTAAGTGACTGATAAGTAGTGTTTTCACACAACACAAGATGGCGTTTCGGTGCGTAGGAGTCGTTCTTCTATGTTTAGTAGGTGAGTTGACCTTTTTTGTATTTTAATAACAGTGTCCTTTTCTTAATGGAGATTTTATGGCTTTCTGTGGATATTTGATCATAAATTTATACAAGTATAATAAAATACTTCAAAAGTTTCAGTAACATAAAAATATTTAAAATAATTAATTAAGAAAATAACGCACGTTTATCTATATATTCATTATTTACGTTTACAAATATGTCATTCCAAAAGCTTTTATATACTACTTAATACTACGCAATAGCTACTACTATTCTTAATGATTTTAATATCAATAAATTATAATGTTACAAAATATTATCTCTATATAATTAAGTTTTGAATTAATATAATAAAAGTCAACGTAGGATATCTATTTCGAAAATTTTGCCAGATTATATAGATATAGGAATACACAATAGCGTGAACACATTTCATTACAGATAACACTTCATAATACATAATTTATGTAAACATAATGCATACTATTGCTTAATTTAATAGTATAAAAATTAGTTTGTTGACACAATTTCGTACATAATTTACACAAACTTCTTCGAGGAATTAGCGAGCTGCTAATTGTATATTTATAACATGCTAAGTGCCAATTAGATAGTTTTGGTAATGCAACTGTAGAGCAAGTGGCTACGATGTTTTTTGTATACAAGTAAATTCCTAAGTAATTAGGTATTCGTTGATGTAATTTGTTTTGCAAGTAAAGACTAAATGAATAGTATATTTGTTATGCATCAATTCTTGATATTATAAGTATCATAAATAGTTTTACTTGACTAATGAAACCACTATGAAATAGTATTTTATTCCTAATTTTACTACTCGTGCATCGATAAATAAACGGATAGAAGAACTAAATACAGACAGTTATCCTAGACATTTAGAAGAAGTGGTAACTGGGAATCCTATTCTTACTCACTATGTATACAAAAAGGAATACAAAAGAGAAATATATAATATATATATTAAAGACATACATAAATCACTAAATGTGGTATATAATATATTATAGTACTTATTATCAAAATATCACCAATATATAACGTATCAAACCTTATTAAGAAATGAGAGTATCTACATACGAAGAATCCTGGAGAAAGCAGACAAAATTTGTGGCAGAATTGAGGCAAACGGTACGCCGTGTGATGTGAATATATAATGGCAATATAATATAGAAACTAAAAAACTAAGTAGGTACTATTTTTTACGTACTATTGCTACTACGTACTATTTTTAATCGGGTGAATTCAAAATCAACAGTGCAGACATCAGTGGAGGACAATGAGGTGAGGTTGAAGTCGGGCCAGTTTGCTCAATGTCCAATAACATATACTTAACAACGAAACATATACTTACATTACTTTTAATGGGGATACTAGTCCCCAGTCTTAACAAGCCCTACCTTCCTACAATATTCTATTAGACTCTAATAGTTACACCATACCCATTATCCCTTTCCCAAATAATCAATACTATTTTATTGAACAAATACAAGAACGGAGATTGTGTAATTATCAAGGTAAAACAAAACATAAAAGAATTTTAAATTAGAAAGGTCAGTTTAGTCGGTAATAAAAAAAATATTATATATTAAGTACACGTAACACTTTAATAGCTTTATTGTATCATACTATATTTTGTACCTATAAAAAAAACTTTTATAAGCAAAAATATAAATAGTTATTAGTCTTATCTTATTATCATGCTGGGTTACTTAGTGGAGGTAGGAACTGCGAATATATTTTATAGGTGAAGTGGAGTTATGATTATTTAAAATTTATAAAAAATATATATAGTAGCCTAATGCTGTGTGAATTTCATTTGAAAGTAATAAATCTAATTGCGTAATTTGCGTAATATATGTAATAGAATACAATTTCATATTATAATTGCATTTCATTCATCAGTCTAGATTTGAGATAGATCGATAAATGGTTTTGCTTAAAATTAACTTATTAAAACTCAAGCGTTCCGACAGCAAATATGGTTATGTAACATAGAGAAACCAGCGCAAGTTGTTGCTACACCCCTTTTGTACGGTGGATATTTGCAAATGAAATGTTACCTATAGTATAAATGTAATAACTGTAATATTAAGTAGTGTAATCAGATAAATAAATACACGCACTTAGCACTTAATACCTTCGACCTCATCATGATGAGTAGACTAATCTCCTCATTACACATATCCATTAACAGAGAGAGACATATAAGAAAATTAGGTATTTACGTATTTTAAATTATTTTGTTGTATATTACTAATATATTGATATCCCAGTCATCATAAACGTTTATTGGGATTTCCAATCTGTTTATGATAATTGATCTGAGATCATTAATATTATAAAATAATGTCATTCATGTCATTTATAATTATTATAATGACATATTTCAATCTAGCAATATATAGTATAAAGTATCTCAAAAGGACTATGTGGTATTTTAACCTTTGTAATGGATCACTTATGGACAAAATATTACTGCTGCTGTTAATGCCATTGAGAATTTTAATTGATGCTTATAATTATATAATCATAAATCAGGATATTCAGAAGTATTTTGAGCAATTATACCTATTAGTCCAACTTATGCCGATGTAAAATTAATGGGCTACAATTGAAGATTTGCAAAGCAGTTGTGTAATAAAATAAACGATACCTGCGAAACTGTACTCAGTATTTATTTAACAGCATTATAATATCAACAAAAGAAGCACGTAAAATTTATTGACGTTCAGAACCGTTGTGCGGACATTACCCTGTAACCAATGTTCGAAATTTAAATAACCAATAAATATTGTTTGGTCAAATATGTCAACAGAATATTTCTAACCAGCCAGCGTCATTTTGCAAAAATATTGAAGTAACTTTAAGTAGTAGTTACGTAGCTGTAATAAATAGCAAATGTAATAAAAATATAAGAATTATAATTCAATTTTAATGTAACATAGTCTATGTAATAATAATTAGGTGTTGTCATTTTAGGAACTCGTTCAATTATTTACCATTTACAAATGAATTATTATTAATTTATAAGTATTTATATAAAGTAATATATATACAAATATATATATTAAATAAGAGGCTATAAAACGTGGGTCAGATTAACTTTAACTTACACCAGGGAGTTCGCAGTCTAGCTCAATGCTAGCAAGTTTATATTTTACTATATTATAATAAAGGAACATGTGACCTACAACAACTATTTACGGTCAATAATTACATAACGTAATTTAATGAATAAAATTACTAAGGTCATAAGATTTAATATAAGCTAAAAAATACCGGCCATCAAGAGACGAGAGATTTAATTTATCTTTTTATAATATTTTTTACCAGTGGTTAAAAAAGGGCGCGTATATATGACCTTATATGACCTTTAAAAAAATATTTATAAGTTAATATTGATGCGATTTAAATTGTACTATTCATATTATTATTATGCTGATTATAAAATGCTGTAGCAACAGCATGTTAAACATGACTTTAAGCTATAGCTACAGTAGTAAGTAATAAAAGTTTCAATTGAATAGCTGAGATAAGGCAGTGAAATTACAGAATATAGAGGCATAACATCTTCGTCCACCGAAATAACAATGTATGAGATGATTTTTTTTCGGACTACTCTAATGTTGTTGGCCGCAGCTGCCCTTTACAGTTCACGGGACGATGATGTATGAGCATTCACTGGCGTCACTTGATATCCGTGGTGCAGTTCCTGTATATTGGTGATGGTTTCTGCTTACCATCAGATGAAGAGATAGTTTGTTTGTCATATCATTTACATAAAATAACCAGAACCTATGGAACACAGTAGTTTGCCTAAAACACAGTGTTTCGTGTTCGAACTAGACTTATATTATGATTATTACGGCAATACATTAAATAAATAAATGATTAAATTGTTGTATACATTTGTTTTCAGTATTAGCATCATCAGCGGTACCAAAGAATGCGAGAAAAAAGCCGGCCAACCCGCCCGCTCGCGCTGCAGCCGATGCCGAACGTGACGCTGAAATCACAAACTCCTGTCCTGATGACGGGTTCTTCGCTGATGCTGAACAGTGTGACAAGTATTACCAGTGCAGGTGAGCATTGTTAGCTTTATGAGATGTTGTAAATTTGGATCTACTATTGCGACGGATTTTTCGCATTTTTTTTTTATTAATATTATATACCCTATAATAATTCCCATCAAGAATAAATTGGTATCTTCAACAGTATAGTCATATACAAACTGCATTTTAATATAATTAGGTATTCGTGTACAGGCCACGAAATTACCGCCTTCAATTGACGCCCTCATTATTCAAGTTAACTCAAAACAACAAGTATGATCTTGATAAAATTTATATAAATTGTGACCACACTGAAAGTACTTGATTGATTAATAGTAATAAATATAATAATAATGCCAGGACAATTCACACAGCGCCATCTAGACCCAAGTTATCGAGGAATCGAACCCGCGACCATCGGACGTAAAGCGGTGTGCTAGACCGCTAGACCACCGAGGTCGTCAATGTAAATGTATGTGTTATTAAAATATATAATGATGTTTTTGGTTTTGAAGTTCGACATGAATTATTTATGTAGATAGTTCTTTTTTGGACACAAATTTAAATATTGATTAAAAAATATATGTCATACTACTTCCTAAAGGTGAAGGTGATTAAAACCAGAATTATGTAAAGAAAGGTATAGTATTAAAATATACACAACGAAACAAGCTGGCCAAGCTGCTAGTTAAATTTAGGTAAAAACAAATTAGTAAAACAATACTATCCCTGAATATACCTAAATATAAAGGTTAGGTATAGATATGTGAACTTACACTCAAACACGTTTTTTTTATACAACATAAAGAAAACGTGTTTGAGTTGCGTTGAGATTCAATTATCATTTTTCCTCTTTGGTTTAATGTCCTTTGCTTTTTGATATTACAGATTGCAGATATGAATTTTGTAGAACGTATTTATTTTTAAATTCCATTCGGGTGATACATCTTCTTCGCCTTGTGGTATGAGATAACTTATATATATAAATAATTTTACAGAGTACAAAATATGGATTCGATTTTTTACTGTAATCTTTTATTTTCAACAAATGTGAAAAGGTTGTGTAAGCTATTTGTAATGTAGGAATAGTCGTTTGTGAACTTTATTCTTCGTTTTCGAGTTTATTAAAAACATAAACTAAAATAAAAATTACATAACTGATCCCTTTCGTATTAATCTACAAGGGAAATCTAAAGCAAGTAAATCTTTTTATGTAACTAGAATGACAAATAAGTTGATGGCCCACCTAATGGAAATGGTATCTAATTGTTTCAGTAAATAACACGACGGACTTTACATCATCTTATATGCTTCCATTCTGGAAACCAAGATTTTTATGCTGTAATAATAAATTTAGACAACAAAAAAATACATGTTTCAATATTTTTTTATACAATTTTATAATTATAATAATACGAACTCGTATACCAAAGAAAGAGAGGAAGCTCTCTTCTTTTATGCTTGTTCTGCAAAACAGGGTTCATAATCTACTGATTGTGAACTTAACCGGAGACGTTGAGAACCGGAGAACTAACTGACCGGAGAAACTATCCGGAACAGAAACTAAAAGTTCAGAGTTTAGATAGCGCTATAGTGTTTTTCTTTAAAAAAATGTTGATTACATAAAATGATTATTCCAGAGACGGCGAAATAACTGAGAAACTCTGCCCTGACGGCATGGTGTTCAACGATTACAGCGCTGATGAAGAGAAATGTGATTTGCCTTTCAACCTTGACTGTTCGCAACGACCCAAGCTACGTAAGTATATAATATCCTTAGTATATAACTGGACCGTTTACCTTGATGCAGTATCGTTGTTTCACTGCATAAATAAATCTCGACAACGCTGCGCCTGCGCATATTAAATACCTATAATTATAGCTGAAATTACGGTTAAAATTGATTGCCTAATTTATTTTTTTCTTAGATTATAATTTTTTTAATATAAAAATAGTAATTATTAATCTTTCTTAAAATAAATAAATTAAAAATATGTTTGTATGTATTACATCTATATAATTAAAATAATGAGTGCATTGCGTACGTTAATACATTATTTACAGAGGGTTAGTACTGGAACAACTGTAAACATTATACACTGTACATATTATGTAATGATAGGTATTTGCTTTATTTTTAAGGTCTTTTGTATATATAAAATACATATACAATACATATGTAATGCACTCCCCCCACTACCTAGGGGGGTAGTGGGGATACACCGTTCAGTTCCAAAAATTCATGAAACTTGTATTTCAATACACAAGTAAATACTTATTCACGAAAATCTCTATAAATGAATATACTCTAATTGATAACAATAAAAGGAGCGGCCATTTCTGTTGATTGAAAATATCAGCAACAATCTTACATAAAATTCTCGTGTCACAATGTTAGTTACCATACCATTCAGAGGATGAAATGGCCGATATTAATGAAATTTTATATCTCAATAGATCTGAAAATGGGTTACTATCTATTTTTCATACCTCTAAGTAAGTAAGATAAGGGTTGTCCACCCCTGACATATTTCTTTAATTTTTTGGGCAAAATATTTTATTTATATTTTTTTATTATGTGTCATTAAAAAATACATACAAGCCTAAATTTTCAATTTTCTATCACCAACCCCAATTTTTTTTTAGCGTTATTATTTTATAAGGCAAAACAACGTTTGCCGGGACAGCTATGATATATATATATATATAGTTTATGTATAATATATAATAATGAATGGAAACGAAAAACATATTACGCCGACCCTAAATAAATGGGATAAGGAAGAAGCAGATGATGATGATGTATAATATATAATAAATTGGTAATAATCACAAATAGCCAAATGATGCATATAAAAATAAAATTTTAATATGGAACGTTACGAATGGAACATTGATATTGTTTTGTTTTACTTTTTATACATATTTTTACCTCTTCCCCAACATTCCGCATCACAATTAAATTAGTGTACAATCAATTCTAACTATTTATTATAATATTGTATAAACATAGCAATATTCCCACAGCAAATTATTACATTAATTCTTATTAAAGACCTATACATTAAAAACTGATTGCTTGTTTAGTTATTATTTCATTAAATGATATCAGACATATAAAATTGTTAGTTTTATCACAAATACGAGATTATTATTTATAGATATTCAAACCGGTCCATATGTGGTCTCATCACTGCTTTATCGTATTTTAAATGCATTTAAATTCTTTATCTACGTTTGTCAGATTCTACTTTTATTTTCATTATATTACTTACTGTGTCACCTTTAAGTGAATCTCTTTAAATTATTTCTAAAAGATAGGCAAAGTTGCTCTTTGAAAATGTGAACTTTACAAGTTATGCGCGTATAATACTAAGCGAACCACTCCGTCTGTGTCATTTAGAAAAAATCTACTTATACTTATTCATTATGTTTTTCTTTTTATTTAATAGTAAAAAGGATTATATTTTATCAATATAGTTCAATGAGAAAAACTGTGTACATGAGTAATATTCTTCGCTTCTTAACAACCGTTCTATACAAATTAGATATAGATAGATTAGAAACATGTAAAATTATAGAAGGCTTTATCTTTTAATTATATATATATCTATATATCTTTTAATATTTAGTATTTATTATATTAGTAGTATTTATTATTTAGTTATTTTTTTAATTCACGTACCTAATGATAGATAGTGTAGGTACTATTCAGTTAATTTACAATATTCACGTAACTTGAAAAGAATTTAACAAGAGTAGGTATAAGCTTCTTCGTAATTTTAAAATATTTATGATTTTTCGTCGTCCAAAACCTTCGAATGCTTCAGTCACATAGTAAAATATTATTTTTAAACTTTTAAAAGACAATATCATCAGGTATTTTATATGTAATAGCTGTCAAACGTAACGTAATTAAGTAAATTATTTATTATGAATGTTCTTAGGATAATTATAATTGAAATTACTATTTCCTATCATGTTCCTGTAATTTAAGCATATACAATACACTATTATACAACTAAGGGAACACCAATAGCAGTAAATCTTATTAAAGGTCATGCATACTATACGTACAATAACCGGAACAAGATACGTGTCATTGTGAAGTATAGCGCCCCATCGCCACAAATTGTATACCACAGCATCAATCGAAACAACTTTCCAATCTCAAGGGAAGCGCGGCCTTGAGTTGCCCGAGAGCGACTTATTGTGTATAGGTGTTGTGAACGAGAAATTGTAGGTATTTGTCATTTAAATGTAATGAATATATTTATTTGAACTCGATCTGATATTTTGTTTACAATTTTTACGTGCTCCAAATTATTGCACTGTTCGATAGTAATCATACAAATTCTCTTTACAGTTGTTGAGTAAATAAATAGAGAAAGCAATGAATGACCTTTTAATATATTGATAGATCGATATATCGATGCTCCGTTTCTCTGTGATAATATGAAATTGCATAGAATACTGTCGTAAAAAATTATATAAATTAAAGCAAGTTAATTTCTGTTGGCTCGTTTATTAGCAATAAGTAGAACATATTTTTTCCTTTATACCCAATACTACAATTACTAATTAATTTATCAAATTTCGATCAAAACTACCTAACAGTAATCAATCAAATCGACTTGACTTTGATAATAGAGCCTCCACGTGCAAGAAGCTATTAAAGAGAGACTTAAATCTAGCTATTGATAGATATATCCTGAGATTATTAAATACCTGCAAACTGACCCTTTGACTGAACGTTGTTGTCCCGTATAAATTATTTCTAGTTAAGAAAATTTCTGGATTGGGCTACCCTTATCACCTAGAGGTTTTTGTCAAAAATTTGTGTCGTTTTGGAGGAGTTTGATAATGAAGATGAAGATTTTTATATGCTACAAATTAGAATATGATTATATATTTTAGGTTTTTCTTTCTTCTATTTACTTAATACAAATTCTTTTGCAGAGACACCTATTCCGGCGCTTCATTGCCCACGTCAAAACGGATATTTCTCACATGAGGATCCAAAGGAGTGTGGCAAGTTCTATTATTGTGTGGACGGCAAGTTCAATATGATCACCTGCCCGGATGGACTGGTGTACAATGACAAGACTGGCATCTGCACTTGGCCTGATGAAGCTAAAAAGAAGGGATGTGGAGCTGCTGGTGTGTAACATATTGTAGACTAGTTCTTAGGACTTACCACTTTGGTTTCAAATTTGATCCCCTAACTATAAGAAAATTAAGTGTTTAGGTTAATTCTCTAATTGTTCTCATTACTAAAAAATATTTAGGACTTTTTTATGTGATGGAATAGCGAGGAAGTAAATGATCCACTTTATGCGAAGTAATAATAACAGTTGCTTATAAACACACCACAGCTGTCACAAAATGGGCTGTGACTTCCATAGTATCACAAGGTGTAATATATTTTATGTGAATGGAATGAGCAAATGCCTACTTCATGGTTAGCGGCAATTGTCCCCATACATCAACAGAACTTGATGTAGAAAAATGTGTGCAAATGTATGGTAATCGCTATATTTTAAAGTAATAGACGTTGCTCTTCGATTCTAAAGAAATACTTTGTACTTCACTTATTGCCCCTCATTTATTGCCTTTGTATAAAGTGAATAATCAACACTTAAAAATGTAAAGTATTGCTGGAGGATAATTTCTAGGCGCGAACATATACCTCGGTCAAATATCTGTATTTATATATGGTGACAGTGTAAAAATATAACATGTCACATTCTTTGCATTCCATCCACATAGTATGAGCCGATTAATCTAAATAGCTCGAAAAAGCCTAATGCTCAACTATATGGTTAACAGTTAGAGTAGGCTAAAAGCTCTTTTATGAGCAGTCTAGCATCTAGAGCTAATGTAATATTTATGTATTACAGAGGTATTCCAATTCGACTGTCCCGCCGTGAATGAGACCTTCGGGCTGACGCACCCTCGTTACGCAGACCCAGAAGACTGCCAATTCTTCTACGTGTGTATCAATGGTAACACTCCCCGACGCTCCGGCTGCAAGCTGGGACAGGCCTTCGACGACGTCCACAAAAGATGCGAATGGGCTCGGAAAGTTCCAGAATGGTAAGAAATTAAACATGATGTTATACCACACTAATATTTTTAATTGCTTAAATGATGAGTGTCGATATATTTGCATAGGTTTTTATCTCCATATACTTTATGTTTATTATTACTTATTAATACAACAACTAGGGCGACTAAATGAATGCAATGATTAAATAATATAAAAAACAAAGTGCATTTGATTGACAAAGCATTGAGGTTTGTCTGCCATTGCTTCTCTTACATAACGTTCTTTCTTATATCATTGAATATTATTTAGATATTATTTTCGTGGTAAAGGCCTAAAGATAATAACTTGTATAGATAGATTTTTAAATTGAGAACCTACTTCTTTTACAGTCGGATTTAAATATATGGATATAAATGTAGTACATATACACCTAAATCATTATTCAGAGAAAAAATAAAATTAGTCTTTCTATATCTTGCACATAATATGTAAGTATGTAGAACTACTTAACATACGAAAAACCTACATACAAATAGATTGATCAATCTTTGAGCGATGATTAAACATGTCAGTCAAGCAAAGGCAGTTCTGAATTTTAATAGGTGTTACTACTGTAACGGTTAATTTAGTTGATAATATGCACAAAGCATAGTGACATTGCACACTTATGTTTTGTTTTAACTTAACTAACGGTATACTTGAAATTCTTTGTTTATAAATGAATTATACTATGGATTTAATTGTCCGGTATTGAAGCTAAATCATCCTATATTATTAATACCAGACAAAGATCTTAGATTTTTTAATACTTTATATGTCATTCCAATGGCAAACAAGCTGAGGAACCAACTTGTGGTAAGCGATAACCATCCCTTATATACATGAATACAAATGTCTGTACCGTGCAGGGTATCGAACCCGCGACCATCGGAAATAAATCGGTGTACTAAACTGCTGGACTACCAAGGCTGTTGTAAGAATCAGATATGTAGATATAGAATCTTGGTTATCGTTTAGCAAAGTATACCATTTCTTTATTGCACTTAAATACATTTATAAGTAAATTAATTACAGCTAATGTTAACAAAGGAGGACTTATCTCTAAAAGAGATCTCTTTCAACCCAATAGAGCGTGGCATAGGAAGTGTTGAGTGGGTTAAATGTGCAAATTATATTTTTTATGAAAATGTCAAAATAATTAAAACTAAACATAAAAATATAATGTCCAAAATACAGATACTAATACAATATACATAAAGATAAAAAAAAAATATATATATTAATATATAATATGTACTTGAATACCTAAACAAATAAAATTACATTTATAATAAATATATAATAACCATAAATATATACTAAATCAAACAATAAATACTACAAAGATATATATACAATGATGACACTAATCACATAGCAGTAGAAAGGTAATATGATTTTAACTTTTTCTTAAAAGAACCACTAGATGGACTTTTTTGAATCTCCAAAGGGAGATTATTCCATAGCTGAGCAGCACGAAACGAAAAGGAGTTACCCATAAACTGAGTTCTACTGTTAGGAAGTTTAAGGATCCTCGAGTGGTTTTATAACAATTGAAAGCGGGAACGAAGGTAGGCGGGAGCATTAGGATTATTAAGAATATTATAGAGCATGGATAGGATATGCACATTATGCCGAATACGGATTGGGAGCCATTTTAAACGAGCGCGGAAATCGGAAACGTGGTCATATTTGTGTAAACTGAAGATAAATCTTATAGCTAAATTTTGTAAGCGCTCTAGTTTATTTAAAAGCTCCTCAGTCATATCTAAGAAGCAAACGTCGGCATAGTCAAGAATGGGAAGTAAAATGGATTGCGCGAGCATAATTTTGGTGCTGAAGGGAAGAAAATATTGGAGACGTTTGAGAGAGTGATATGAAAAGTGTATTCTTCTACTAATTTCGTTGACATGGGAAATCCATGACATAGTACAATCCAAAATAAGTCCTAAATTTTTAACCTTGTCAGTGTACGCTATCTCAATGTTGTTGTATATTATTGGGGGTACCAAAGACCAATCCAACTTGCACCTTAGTCTGCTACTACCAACAATCATGGCTTGGGATTTGGACGGATTAATAATGAGACCGAAAGATCTAGCCCACGATTGAATACTCAAGAGATCACAGTTTAAAGCTTCTACTGTTTGAGTCACTTCCGACAAGGAGAAGTGACGGTATAACTGCAGATCATCTGCATACAGATGGAAGGGAGAAGTAATGACTCGAGAAATATTGTTAATAAACACTGAAAATAGTAAAGGAGAGAGTACACCGCCTTGAGGTACACCAGCAGTTAGAGAAATCCAGTCTGAGGAACCATCACTGGTTCTAACACACTGCTGGCGACCGAAAAGAAAAGAAGAGAACCATTCTATAACAGAATTTGAAATGTTAACGGCACGGAGGGCACCAAGGAGAATATCGAAATTGCACTGCTGAAGTCCAATAAAATAATGGCAGTCAATTTGGTGTCATCCATAGCCTGCCGTATATCCTCTGTAATATTAAGAAGCGCCCCAGTAGTGCTGTGGAAGGGACGGAAGCCTGACTGGAAAGGACATAACAGGTTATTGGTGGAGAGGTATGTATAAAGTTGATTATGGACAACGGATTCAAGAGCTTTGGAGAGTAAAGGAAGAATAGAAATGGGACGAAATAGGATTACTTGTTTTATGACATAAGCCTTTTTCCATTGTGATGGAAAGACATTGTTGCTGAGTGAAAAGTTAATAATGTGAGTAAGCACTGGCAAAATGTCATCCAACACAGGAAGGATCATATCAAGGCTTATGTTGTCACTACCGATGGCTTTAGAGGAAAAAGATAGAAGGATTTTCTTAACAGCATCTACTGGTATTGCACTGAAAGTAAATGAAGGGCAATCGAGTGGAGCAAGACTTGAAAGAGTTGAAATAGAATTAGCTTTAGTGAGATTGCTAAGATACTTATTTAAAGATAGTTACTTTTAAAAGAAACTTGCCCACTCCTAGTGATTGAAGAAATTTCCAAATTTGAGACTGATTAAGGTTTTGTATAGTTGAATGAATGTATCGGCGTTTAGCATCCCTACATCATTCTGTTGCAGAGCTTTTTATAAAAATTAAATTGTGATCTCTCTTGTTTATACCGACTTTTAGCTCTGTCACGCTTGGCCATATTTCTCTTGATAACAGGAGTAGGAGCATGTTTAACGCGTACTGGCCGGACTGGAGCATAGGTATCGAAGATTTTTATAAGCTCACAGTTAAATATATCTATCATTGAATCAATGTCGTCCGAAAGTAATAAGGGAGACCAGTCCACTCTTCTCATATCCTCTCTCAAACGATCAAGATCCATATGCAGAAAAACTCGAAGTAAGTGAACCTTACCCTATTTTTTGGAGGACGCAAGTTGTATGAAAGATAAATTAAGTCATGTTGAGAAAAAGGAGAACACATTTGTCCGTGAGAGATAGTAGTATGGGGATGAGAAACTATAATTAAATCAATAAGGGAAGGTCTACTGTTGTGAAAGTAATGGGTCGGTTTCGCCATGGGCAAAACATTAAGATTAAGCGCAGATGTTAAACCCATAAGCTTGCCAGTTCTTACATCATTCTTCAAGAGACAGGTATTTAGATCCCCCATAACAATTACGTGATCAAAACGAGGGATCAGTGCTTCAAGAACAGTCTCCAATGAATTAAAATAATCTATTTTATCATTGGGACTGTACAAAACACCCAGTAACAGTTTTTTGTGATGAACTGTTGTAGTGATGAAGAGATATTCCAATGAAGCGGTTATTTGTGGTTGAGATGCACAGACTATTTCTGCACAACAATCGCTGCGAAGGTAAATCCCCACACCGCCACCCCCAGAGGTAGTGTCATTACGAAAAAGTTTATAGCCCGGTATAGCACAGCAGGTGGAGGGAAGAGATGGCTTAAGCCATGTCTCAGAGATAAAAATACAATCGACTATGCCGGCGCTGAAAGATGTGAGAAGATCGGAATAATGAGCTAATAAGCTCTGAGCATTAATATGCACAAGGGAGAGGTATTTGGAGTGGTCAGCAAAAATAGTGATTACTATCGGACATAGAAGAATTAAAACTCGATGCAGTGTCAAAATCATCAGAAGAGCAAGAAAAGTAATCATCATTTACATCCATAAATATATATGAATACAAGAAATACAAATAATATATATAAATATTAAAATTATAATAATAATAAAATACAAATTGTAATAAAAAAGAACAATTACAGCTGGCTCATTAACTGCTTAGGTTGACTAGAAGAGCTTAACATAAAACTAACCTAACAATATATTAGTTTAAAAAAAAAAAAAAGTATACAAATAAAACAAAAAAAAAAAGTTGTTTACAAAAACTACAGTAGGAAAACCAAGTGACTATATCCATCATAAAAATAAAAAATAAAATAAATGTATGTAGTGACTAGAACTAACAAAACGCAGTACAGATATTATTATGTCAGTTGACATTGACATATGCAGTTGACATGACAGTTCATCAAAACAAACAGAACTGTATTTGTAATTGTAATTTGTACTTACAAAGAACTGATATAATAATAGACGTGAGTCGGTAATTTAACAAAAATCAAGACATTCATAAATTATATAAATATACCCTAAACCAGAGTGAATATAAAAATTAAATAGTGACAATAAACCGACCGAATTAAATAGCATCACAACACCAACACATAACTAGCTGTTTATGAGTTTTTAGGGTGCTGCAAGATGAGTGTTTTCAACTCACCCATAGATGTTATTTTCTTACGCTCTTTGTTAGGGAGAAGAACAACTATATTACCGTCTGCTGACCAACATTTCTTCATGCCGAAATGGTTACGAGCCGCAACAAAGACATACTGCCTTGATCTTGTTAGGAACTCGGAAACGGATGTTTTGGAGCCCTTTAATATAGTTTTAGCGTTCCAAACCATTGAACGGGATTGTAAAGATGTGAACCGCACAAGAACAGGCCGAGCAGCCTCCCTTTTAGCTCCCAATCTATGACATGACTCGATGGCATCAGGACTACTGTCTAATTTCATTTTGTTGTTGAGCAACTCCAAGATTACTTGAGAAGTATCTTCGCCAGAAGTCTCAGGCACACCATGAAAAAGTAAGACCTTCCTTCGGGAATGGGTATCCAGACGGTCTTGAGACTGTTGAAGCATCTCCACCTGTGCCTTGATAAGTCCAAAACTCTTCCAGACAAACGCTTTAAATGAGGCAAAATCGGCGGATAATCCTTTCACCGTAGTACCTGAGGAAGACGGAGCCTGTTGCTGCATGCCCTTCTCAAACTCTTCCATTCGGGTGTTGAACAAGGTTGATAAGTCATCCATGTTTTTTAAAAGTTGCTCAGCTGTGGTGTCCATTGTAAAGTTAGTGATGAAAAGTTAGTTAGAAAGATAGTAACTGAAGTCAACCAAATGCAGGTTAGAAAAAATTTAATTCATATGATAAATTGTATTTTTTATTAATTAAAATTGAGGAGCTCAAAAATTTTATGACTTTTGCATGTATGTCTACCCACAAAAAAAAAAAATTTCTTCAGAGTCATATAATTATTATAATATTTTATGTCTATTTCCAGCGCTGATTGGTACAAGGGTCAACTCACTGATGCCGAACTCGATGCGTTGGAGAACCCACCCACAGTAAAACCTAAACCTTTAGGATCTCAGCCGTCCCGCCGTAAGCCACAACGCCCTGGTAAGGGCAAGGCAGTGCACATCGAAGATGACGAGTAATATTTATGTATATAGTTAGGTTAATAAATAAATTGTAAGTAATATGTATTCGTTTCATTTTTAATATGAATTTCTACTCTTGGAATGTTTCCGAATTGAATAAGAACGATAAATTATGATATTATTTAATATCGAGAAAAATATGAACATAATAAAAAAACCATGCTCATATCGGACCTACATAGAAATAAGTGAACTTTAAAACAATCTTAATTTAGGTTTTGGAATAAGACCTCTGGACTTATTTTTTGTATTTAAATTTATAATTATTTTTATAGCACACTATCAGAGAAAAATGTATATTATTGGGAAGTTTCAGAAATGATACGTCGATGCAGCAGTACTTTTAATTTATTCCTTTTTCAAATTACACTCCACATAAATTGCGTCGCTGTACATTCACGTCTGGTCGTCTCGGTCGCCTCGAACAAAGAGTAAGCAGCCCGCTCCCTCCTTGTTCTCGGCCTCTTTATCTCTATTACTATTGGTACTCTATTACGCCACCAATATCACGTGACTCACTATGGTTTTATATGAATGATATGTCAGTAAAAATTAGTCAACCGAGTGTTCTTTATGTATTGAAGCTAACAATATAGATATATGATATCTTATTATATATCTTCAATTTGTTATCCATATGAATTATCTCTGCTTCAGTCTTATTACTAAAGAAAAATCAGGATATCTGTTGGATTACGAATCTGTATAAATAAAAACAATTTATAGCGGACTGTATTTTATAGAAAAGAAAAGATTTTATGTAAAACAAAGGAGTAATTAGGTACGCCTAGGAAGAACGTCATCTCTGAATATCCCAAAGTACATCAATGTAACACAAAGTAACAACATTTGCTCAGGAACGGCCGATGTGTAGCATAGTTTAATAGCTATGTACTCTTTTAATTATAATAAACAATTATATTAATGCAGTATTTTCGTATTTAAAATAATAACATATTTAATAATAAAGAACACTTTGTTCTTCTGGAAACAGTTCGAATTTTAAATTATTTTTATTCGTATAAAATTTTAAATGGGCCTATTTTTATTTTTTTTATTTATTTACTTAATACAGAAAACATGTGTACTAATTTACTGAAGAACAGATGATATTCAGAGAAGTATAAAACTGCGTTGTGAATATCGACGCCCTCCACCTAGTTTATATAATTCCAAAAAAAAAACTTTTTACTGATTGCCAGTATTATCGATCGCCCTTTGAAAGCAAGCCGGCGATACAACCTATATATATACTAAGGCAGTGTTCGAAATAAGGAAATCAATTAAATATTTTTTCCTATTTTTTTTTATGTAATTGTAATGACACATACGCAATGGTAATGAACTAAATATACGAACAGCACTATTTTGAGTCAGCAATATCACGTTATCATATGAAATCCGTGATACCATGCAGGCGTTGCTATTCCAGAGGACTAAAATATCGGGCCACCTAATCTGACCCTACAATCGTAACACACCTTAAAAAGTTAGCTGGTTGGCCGCTGAAATAGTTATGAGTTATGACTGAGGTACCAATGTAAACAAGTTTTTACAGTGTACCTCCGGTTTACTGCGCCATATTTTCACAAACGTTATAAAGTTTGTTCACGAATGACGTTCTTCTAAATGACACTAGTCCATAAATTTAGGTTAAAAATAATAAGAATATACTGGTTCAGAAACACGTTAAAATCAACTTTAGAATTATGCGCATCATTTGCAATTTCTAATAAGTAATTGGTTTTTTTTTGGAACTCAGAATGTCAGCAACGTCGTTTAAATTACAGTGTTACCTAAAATAATACACAGTTATATAATTATTTATTATTATTTATTTTTCATTTCGTTCTTTTATATAAAATAATTTTCTATTTACACTTTCGTAGTATTTACATACATTTAGGATATATAACTATTTCATTTAATGACTTTAATGTAGGTACATATATTTCATATAAGTATATATTATATATTTCTACGGTAACTAATATCACGCACGGATCATGGTATATTTGGCAACTTAGGTTTATAAACAGGAATTCGTTAATTGATCACGAAATATAATATAAGAAATAAATAAAATTCAATGGAAACAGCATTCCAAATATTTTACAATGCAATTAAATTAAAACATAATTACATACAAATTAAAGCATTACAAAACGAAAACAATCGGTAGATATATTACAATACAAGATAATAGCAAAAATTGTATAAAAAACGAATCAAAAATCTCGTTATTATGCAATATGTATTGCGAAAAAAATTGAGATAGGAATTGAAGTTGGCCGTTTTAAATTTTATCAGAATAATTACAATTTAATACCGCATTTCTGTTTTATATTATATGAACACATAATATTGTTAATTTTTAGAATTGCACAACAAATCTTGTAGCCATTGGTTGACGTATAAAATGTATATTTTTTGTTGCATAAATACTATAGAATAAAATAAAATTACATATCATTAATGGAAATGCGGTGTTATATGTCTATAGTTGCTTATAGATATACATATGAAGTGGTTAGGGGTTTGGTCAACGAGTTGGACTCCATTATATTCATTATCCATAAATATTTTACGCGGCCGTGTATTTAAAAAAAAAGAAGTCATTCATTAATTCCTGATGACGTAGTACCTCCAAATTGGAAATCTATCACTATTTTTGAACACTAAAAGAGGAAGACTTGTTTCTTATTTTCGCCTTGTAATACCGACGTCAGTGAATCACGCGTGTCCACAGCCTGGAACTATTTCTGGGTCTTCGCAGGTCAGATTCTGGTCATCAAAGACTTTGCCTTCTTCGCAGGTGATTAGCCGTGGCTGACCCTCCACACATGTGATCAGTCTGTGGCAATCACCAGGCACAGGGAATCGGGGGAAAGGCCAGAACTTGGCTGACTGAGAATTGGAAGGTACCTTGGTGGGACACTTGAAGCCGACGACCGCTGTGAACAGTTTTATTAAATACTTAATTACAGAGTAATTTATTTATTACAAGTACTAACTGTTATCACATACGATTGCAATCATTGCAAATTACTTAATTACTTTAAAAACTTTTTCTTTTCACGCTGTATAAGCATAGTTATGTTCGTTTATAATGTTTTGTTTTCTTTCCACAGATATTGAGTCCGTGCTCTTATTATTTAAGTTTATAATGATTTAAACTTAAGAAAGTATATGTCTCCTACACGTTCCAGAAGAACAATCTAAATCTCCAAACCTTCACATATTTAAAACATTCCTAATCCCTGGTTGCATTGACTGAATTGGGGTAACTGACTTTCATTGACTCTATCCTTGTATCATCATCATTCATCGCTTCCACTTTTATTCCATAACTATTCTGAGAAAAATATAAAGTAATTACCTTCAGGATTGCAGAACGGTTGCAATAAATCGGGCCAATTGCAGCCATGAATACGTTCGTCGTATACTAGACCTGGGGTGCATGGCTCCTGGTTAGGGATACCGAATGCGCACTTGACATAGCTGGTAGAGCACTCGTTACTGTCCGGGTAGATTCCGAATTGATATTCACAGCCGGGTGTAGATAGAGGCGTCACTGCGTAAGAAAATAATATTTACAAATTTTATTAGTAACAGTAAAGGATATTTATTTATTTCCTCCATAAAGCCATAAAGCATGGACTAAAAAACTAACTGCATGTATATGTTGAAAGTCGCGGGTTCGAATTCTACAACGATGCAAACAGTTGTATTCAATGAGTATTATTATTTGTATTAATCTGTAATTTTCTATGACTTAAAAAAGTGTATCTAAGTATTTATATATGTCTAGTACCCATAACAAAAGATCTGCTGAGCTTTACCAAGCTAGTTATAAAGTCCTCTATATGACGCTGTGTGAATTGTCTTATTTTATAAGGTTATTTGATAATTATTATTTACAGTAACATAAGAAAATAAAAAAAATAATTGACTTACAGTCAGCGTTTCTCTCGCCACAGTCCACAGCCCAGTGGTAGTTACAGTGGTTGTGGACGGCACCTTTGCCATCGAACAGTAAACCATTTTCACACGTCTCCACTGTCAATGTACCATTTGTACATAAGAAGAACTGGTCACACAGCTCAGGATGTTGATATGCCTGGAAAGTAAGATATGATAGCCGTTAAAACTATGTCTAAATAATTTGCACATAATTCGATACCTAATTAGCCGATTTATCGAATTTTGTTGAAAATCTCTCACGTGCAATTCAATTGTTGGCTCCATATATGTTTTCTTACTCAATAAATTAGTTGAAAGTTCTACTTTACTCAACAGACCAACACAACTATGTAATTAATTACCAATGAATAGTACCGTTTTGTTGAATAGAGCCACATGTTAGAAAAAAAACGAATGGTTTTAGAATGTCATAAGTGGTGACTACAACAAAAACATACAATAGAACCGATTGCCATAAGAAGGACATAAAAGGTTATGCAAAATACATGACGAGCACTTGAATAATACTATCTCTCTCTCATAATGTAAACTATAGCTATACGAATACTAATGATTGTATACAAGTGATCATCTATATACTAAAAGTATAAAATATTTGATGTCTGTTTATCCATTGCAAATTTGCGTGTTTAAACGCAGAAACAAAATAGAACAAATTTTGATAAATTTTAGAATTAATATGATTAGACTTTGACCAAGAACATTCTTTATCTGAAAATAAGCTGAACGGAAAATTCTTTATCAATTATTTCTACAATAATAAAAACATCATGAACGGAAAAAATGACCTGCATATGCATTTATGAGTTACGTTAATTATCGAAGTATAATATTTTTAAGAACCATATTGATCAAAAATAATATTATTATAACTCAGGACACAGCATTTTAACGTACTGTAATAAAAAAAAACATCATCTGTATAATTTTATCTATATTATTACAATACTATTGGTAGGAACTAAAGAAAATGCGGTCAAATTTTTATATTTTCTACATTTGTGCTCTAAACTTAATAAATTCGTGTATGCTCTCAGACGCTTACGGAATATGCATTTACGAATTACGTTTTAATTATTCGAAGTCAACTTACATCAACAAAGCTCTTTTATGCATTCGCGCAATTTGCGGTCTGGGTCCCATTGACTCATGTAGACAGTATTTTAAGAAATTGAATCTTAAAAGTTTCTTCTTTATATAATATTCACCTGAATTATTTAAAAAAACTGAAGAATATAACTCAGAGACACACGTAAATAGGGCATTTTCAAAATTGTAGAATAATGTGTATAAAAATTTACAACAAAATCCGTGCACTGTGAGAGATGTTTTTATACAGTAAAAAATTTTTAAAAAATTAATATAATTATCAACAGTAATAATATTGATATATCTGACTAAATAATAATATAGATATACTTAAAATTGTATAATATAATAATTATTACTGAAAAGATTTATAATGCATATAAAACCTTCATATAAGACTGAGATATCTATTGTAACATCTGAGCTCTCTATTTCTCTCTATAAATTATAAGTGTCAACGTAGACGACGTTTTTTAAAGTAATCGTAAGGAAACATATACATAAAAAATAAATATTTCATAATTTTTCTCGTGCAGATCTTCGGGTACACTAATTACTCGAACTCTCTTTTCAATTTGCAGTCTAATATATATATTTTTTGTAATCTAATGGCAGACATCCTCACTGCTCACCACATGGTAATTGGTAAACGTATAATCTCATCTAAACAATCTCATCAAATACTACAACTGAGGCTGTCAAAGAATGACCCTATTACAGTTAGGCTTTGCACTTTCGTAGTAATAGTAGGTACCTCAGCCTAGGCTGTAATCACACGTGAAGCGTGACCGTTGAGTAATCGACACACGAGGTCAACGGCGGCAATTAGACATCGATTGTTTCATTGTGTTATTGGAAACTTTCAGCGTTTCATATGTCTGTAATAAAGTTTATGCGAGTATAATAGAGTCTGTAAATAAGAAATAGTGCATATGCTGGTAGATACTTAATCAGTTATCATAATCTAGCATTGGGGCTTAGTGGTTTACTATCCTCAATTACACCCAAGAGGTCGTACGTTCAGATCTGGATATTGAAACAAATTAAACATCTTTCAAATATATATATATATATATATATAAATTTATATTTGTTATATTATCGACGGCTTCGGTAGTCAAGTACACCGCTTTACTTCCGACGATCGCGGGTTCGATTCCTCACACGCAAACATTTGCATTCAAGAGTATGATTATTTGTACCGGTCTGGATGCTTTCTATGTATGTATTTATATCAGTTGTCTAGTACCCATAACACAATCGTGCTTATTGTGGGACTAGATAGCTGTAAAAAAGAAAAAAAATCTGTCTGACTCTATGGTAAGAATCTTTAGGATCTTTCTTTTATCTAACGGTAAACGAAACTATGACTTATTTACTTTCTGCCATAAACCCAAACCTCTGATCTTTTTATATAAGATTTATACTTTATTTAATGTACTAGAGAAATTGATGCACAATCGTACAAAGTAAACATCTTATTAAATCATAAACAATTAAATAGAGTTAGTTTATTAAACTTATTCTATTGTATATGCTTCACAAATTATTTATGTGGATTAGATTACTAGTTACTATTAAGTAACATAAACTAGCAGAGAATGCCGATAGCATAGTTGGTCAACATAAACTTACAAACAACTTAAATTAATAAATACCCACTTCAATTCATATTTGATGCATATAAACTTTTTATGGACGTAATATGTAACTACACTAGTCATTTTATAGCTTCAATGACTTAAGTACGGTGGTATCGCCGCAATTGACTCAGAGTGCCACCTACGTATACAAACATACAAAATAAATCAATGGAATAATCTAAATTATTACTATTGTTGTCAGTTCGTGTAGTATAGAGTAGTTCCTTAATGTGAGTACGGCAGTTAGCAACGTCACGGCACAAGCAATCTCGGCCATCGTACCAACAACTTCGTTCACTTTTACTTTTGCGACAACACAATAAACGTCGCAAAGATGGCCGTGGGTTTATACAAGACGAAAATCGAGACATATGACGATTTATCACGATATTGCTAAGCAGCGAAATTTGACACTCATTTGTCGTTAGTTTAAAAACGTGGCTTAAATAAATAGTGTTACATTTTCACGGTATCTATTCTAGTATAGTCTCAAAAATGGAAACGGATTTTACCAGCACTTTATTGTTAAATTTATATCTGGCCTTTGTTAATAGAAAATATAACTAGAATTTTATATTTAGAAAGAGTGTGATTTTTGTCTTCTATTTTACTTTTATAATTCACTATATTTATTTCACTGCGGATAACCCGACAGAAACCCCTACAGATTTTATCTATTTAGAGTATTTACTATATAGTCTGCGTCGGTGTAGACTATTGCTAAAATATTATTTCCATTACTAATTCCATTCCACATACCTATAGGAAAAAAACTATAAAACAACATTTGGATATATTTGATCCAAAGTACTTACAAGTTGTCACGATAATGACAATCCATTTTTGTCCCTGTGCTGAATACAAGCATGTGTTTATAATCTATTTATTTAAAAGTATTCAGCCTATTATGATTACGTGAACTTAATGTATTTTCTTGACCTTATCGTAGTAAGAAACCTCAATACGATATACTTAAGTGTAATATGTGCTTATGTTACATGCATAAATTTATTAATTTATTATTATTAATCTACTTGTGATTATGTGGCAGTTTCAATAATTGGGATTTACCGTCACTTACTCAATTATATGGTCACATTCAATATTATAGAATTCACCATTATTCAGCATTTTTCAATGGCTTAATAATGTTATGATATAAATGTGAAAGTTTATAAGTTTCGGTATTTATTACTTAATCATGAATAAACTGGTAGTATTCGAATAAAATTTGATTTTACCAAAGAGATTATTGCTATATTAAGGAACATGGGATATTTCATTATAAATTTACGAACAGCGCCACGGTATAGTGCTAAACACTGAAGTTATTGGAGTACTTATGATTCTATTATTTTATGTATATTTTTGTATACCATGATTACCATATTTTGAGAATTTTATAATTTTTAAATATAGAACTGGTTAGTATGTATGTAGGTATATGCATTAGTTTATATGTCAATATTTTTTTCGAAATAAAAATTTGTTAACAGCGGTATATTGCCAATTATTTTTTTAAACTATATCAGCTATACTAGAGCGAAAGTAACTAGTAGTCAACCTTGATGCGTACGCGGTGCTACGACGGTCACATACCCGTGTGCGTTCACCAGATTACTGATTACAGATCTAAACATCGAGTATACAGTCAGTTGATAGCTGTTATTAAAATGTATGATAGCTATGATTAAATCATTGTCATGTATGTATTACATCATCTATGATCACTAAGTATTCATCAACCATTTAGCTGAATTCTTAAAGAAGAAGAGTCTAAGTCCAACTGTATTTCTGTATGTACTGCTTGTTTAAGTATTATAATAAATAATTACTATTATTATTAATTACTACAAAAATCTAAAAGCATAGCTGTAATAAAGGAATTATTATAATAAATAATTACTATTTTTGGACTCATTATCTTACTTATATTTCTTTTAATTATTACTATGTCTTTACTACTATATATATATATATAATATATATAAATTTAATAATATTAATAAAAGGGGGTCCTAATTGTCGAACATATATAATGTATATATTCGACAATTAGGACCCCCTTTTATTAGTATTATTATATTGAGAAGAGTTCTGTCATGTGTTTCTACTGTAATAATGTTCTTACAAATTGTCATAGTCAATTTCATGTATTTAAAGTTTAACCGACATACTTAATTGAAAAGACCTAAAACGCAAGATGCGCAACGCAAATACCTAGAAAATATGTTTATTTATTTATTTTTATTTATTTATAATTCTTTATTGCACCAATGTTAAAAGTAGATACATAAAAAGAAAATAATATATGACAATACATTAAAGAAAGAAGAAGGTATAGAAGGCGGTCTTATCGCTAACGCAATCTCTTCCAGACAACCTTATGAAAGAGAGTATGAATAAAAATAAAGTAGGCGGCACGTGGAGTGGAAATAAGGTAACAAAATATAATATATATATATATTATACATACACATAAAAATTATACTTACATATAAATAATACACAAATAACACACTATACTAAATGTAAGAAGCAATAGAAGTGGAAAAGAAGTGAACATAAGAGTATTTACGGGGAGAGAAAGTGAGATTTAACTAAGTTCTTAAAGATGGCTGAGGATTGAGCATTACGTATGGAGG